CACTTTGACTGCTGGTGGGAGGGGGTGGGGATGCCATTGCACTCCATTTTGCTGAAATGTGCAGCAGAGCTATGGAAACAAATCAGCTGCTGATTTAACAACACTTCAAAGAGCCTGATTAAATGCCTGTTCATTATTCAGCACGTGCAGCCATACTGATACCATGGGAGTGATGATTCCTGTGAACTGCATGAGCCCCTAGCTGCACGCTCGCATGTGTGCATTCTTGGCACAATTACACATCACTGTGATCTGAGGACAGATCATTATCTATGCCAGACTTCACTAACCTGGTGTCCTTCACGTGCTGTTGGACTCCAAGTTCCATCAGCCAGCAGGGCCAATAGTCAGGACTGATGGGAGATTCAGTCCATAACATACTGAGGGCATTAGACTGGGGAAGGATGAGGCAGGCTTCCTTTCCTCCTTGTTCCCTTTTCTCTGGAGCAATTGGAGAATGTACCCTACAGGTAGGCTTGCTGTCCCCACAGAAAGACCAAGGGCCATGCCTGCCTGCTTGAGGTCACAGAAAAGGAATTCTCAGTACAAATGGCGTTGCCCACAAAACATGAGGAAGTGCATACCTGGACAGATATTTTTGTCTCATTTTGTCTTTGAAATATACTCAGAGTTGAGTGTGAATTTCATGCTCTTTATTTAGCTCATAGTAGCAATGAATGAAACTTTCCCCAAAACGTCTAGCTATACATACATTATTTACACAATGGGCCCCGCGTGATTGGCTAATTCCGGGCTGCTCCTGTAGGCCAATCAGGTTGCGGATTCACCTCCTCCAGAAGCCTGATTGGCTGCTCCTGCAGGCCAATCAGGTCGCTGATTCACTTCAACCTGGAGCTGGATTGGGTGGCTCCTGCAGACTAATCAGACTGCTGCATTCTGGATCCTATTGTTCTAGGATTCAGCTCAATACAGTGGTACCTTGGGTTACAGACGCTTCAGGTTACAGACTCTGCTAACCCAGAAATAGTACCTCGGGTTAAGAACTTTGCTTCAGGATGAGAACAGAAATCGTGCTCTGGCGGCGCGGCGGCAGCAGGAGGCCCCATTAGCTAAAGTGGTGCTTCAGGTTAAGAACATTTTCAGGTTAAGAATGGACCTCCAGAATGAATTAAGTTCTTAACCCAAGGTACCACTGTACATAACACCACCTCATTCTTTCTTCGACTTCTTCAGAGACAGCTTTCTCCATTAACCATACCATGCGATCATCATCAGAGGGCTAGGAAGAATACAAGCCAAGTGGAACTGTCACTTGGCCCGCATGAGTTTCCTTGTAATCTTAAGAGAATCATGCATGTTGTTTGGACACAGACGTTGTCGAAACTTGTAGAAGTGAATCTGGAGACAAACTGATTTAATAAAAATGTGTGTGGGTGTTCCGCGGGGGGGGGGGGGAGTTTTTCTGCCTCCTCTACTGTTTAATAGGTCGTAAGTTGTGTAAGAATGCATGTACCACTTCATGAACCACTGTAAAGATTATCCTTGCTAGTTAAAAATCCTGTTTTTAGGGAACCTTTCCTCTGTCAAAGGCTGCATTCCCATAAGGACGATCTGTAGGGAGCCGGAGCCAGAATCCTGCAGGGCCATCCGTTCCTCTTTCGGCCATTCCATTTTCTTTCTCGGCTTCTTTCTCTACATCTGAGACAGCTGCCCTGCCCTGCATTCCTTTCTGGCAACTTAGGTGGGTCGGGCCAGAGGCAAAAGGAGGCAGAGCAATGGGAATGTAAATTTTACTTCTGTATGGTAGACAGTTGCTACACACTCACATACCTATTTCTATCCAGGAAAGCAAGAGGCATTATGAGAGTTCAAGGACAAACTCTAGCCAAGCAAAAACTCAAAAAGAGTGCAGAGCAGAGCTGTCATGGAGACGGCATGTGTGACCTGACTGAGGCCTGCATTTGGCTCCTGGGCTGGAGGTTCCTGACCCCTGCTCTAGCTACAAGTCTGAACTCAGTTCTTCCCCCCATCTTCTCATTGCTCCATTTATTTTAGCCAACCATTCCTATCTCCCCCTTCCCCGCTCTTTCCTCACCCACATATAATTAACTTGAGGGCCACATGTGCTTCCTAGGATGCAAGTTCCCTACCCCTTCTTTCAAAGGCGGACTTTCTGGTCACATTCAGATGAGCAAATCTAGACTTAATAAGTTGATATGTGTGCAACCTTGCACATGTAGTTGCTTCATTCTTTCCTTAGTGTGAGCGACTGAACAAACCAGGGAGATGCAGTTAACCATTGTTTCCTGTTACATCCCAAAACAGGAACTATGGTTAATGGCTTTTGAGCAAACTAGGATGCATGAGCCAACTTTAAACTTTGTATACATTTTCTGGATTGTTTGAAAACCATTAATCATAATCTCTGGTTGGTGCTTAACAAGAAGCTAAGGCTAACTGTGCAGTTTTTTTTGCTTGAACAAAGGGAGCTGTGAGGTGGCTTTGTGCTTATTATCTTGGCTTATTAAACTGAGATTTGATTGTTGTTTATGTCCTTTCAGTGTGTGTTTGGAGTGTGGTATGATGGTAAATTATATTAATTAAAGGATATTAGTTAGTATCCTACTAAGCATAGAAATTTGAAGTTAATCAATCCATGACACAAAAGGATACTTTTTCATAGGTACTTTCATACTTTTTCACGGAAGCAGTGGAAGCAGTGTGAAAAAGGAAAAACACTTTAAATTGCTATTTACAGGTACACTGGAGTGTTTTAGGCCCCCCCTTTTTTATTGATGCTTTAGAATCTAGCCACTTGCTGACAAAGTTTAGGCTGCAATCTTATACCCACATTTTTGAGAGTTACACTCCATTAAACTCAGTGGTGCTTAACTCTGAGCAGACATGCATAGGATTGTGCTGTTTGTCTTTTGAGAAAGGAAAGAATGCAAAAGACCTTGGATGTCATATTTTTGAGGAATATTTCCATGGGTCACATGCATGTCCTTCAACAGCTCTCAACCAACTGGTAACATTTCCAAAAAGGGAATACTGGTTGTCATCAATGAAGGAAGAAAATGTTGCACCTAACTGTTTCCATCGCTTGTACCAAAACCGACAGCAAAACTGGTTTAATACAGGGGGGAGTGTAGACTTCTATCAGCCCCAGCTGGCAGGGCCAATACTCATTGCCATCGCAAACAATTTTATAAGTACAGTAGTAGAAGTGGAGTGAACCAATAGAGGATACATAATTAAGACTCAGGGATCACAGCCCTCCCCACAAATGATCGGAATAACACTCTAAAACTATAGCTCAACCTTTTACTCGCTTCTGATACTTAAATTTCCACTTAACTGAGAAGTGTGAGAGACTCCCTGTCATTCCATCTCCTGTGGTGGCCAATCAGCTCTCTGTCCACCCCAGCCAATCATAAAACCTGTGGGAAGCAATTCCCACATCTGTCTCTAGGGGGTGGAAACCCATTTTTTTTAAAAAAGCAACAACTCTCACCTGAAGAACTCCTTTGGGCTTCCACTCTTGTCATTCTGTTCCCTCATCAGCAGCACTAGCCAATCAGAGTAGCCCCTCAGGGCCCAAGAAGTAACTTAGGGTTTGGGCTGCTGTTCTGAATCACCTGCCTGCCTAAAGGTTGCATCTGATATTCCATTTCAATAATCCTGACCAAACACAAGTGTGTTTTCTTCTGTGGGGGTTGGGGGTATGGATCTTTTTCTGGGCTTGCAGAGGTTTTTTCTCTTTGCGCAGCCAGACTGAGTAGCAGTAGCAGCTCTGTGAGTGGAAATTTGACAGAATATTATTCTGGTATATATTTTTTTGTGATGAGAAGGAGGGCTAGAGGCTGAAGGCAGAAAAATGCTGGACTTGCATTATGCCTGCCCTGGGTATTTTATTTTTTACTCATGTTGAGTAACCCTGATGGGGGCAGGGAAAGAGATTACATTCCTACTTCTTCTTTCACATTTTTTCCTCTTTTTTCTGTTCCTTTGCTCCTCTGAATCAACCTCTTCTCTTTTCCTCACTTCCTTTGTCCCAGAGTTACAGTTCTGGCCTTTTAGGTCAGCTTCATTTTCACATTTCTCTTCTTAATGGTGCAACCCAACAATACATTTCCACTCTGTAGCTTGTCCCATTGACTTCAATAGGGTTTGCTCCCAAGTAAATGGGTACAGAATTACAGCTTTACATAACAAGCCTAACCTTGTCTACTCTAAGTAAATCCTTTTGAATTATATGGGGCTTATTCCCAGGTGAGGGGGGCTGAGATTGCAACATTAGGCATGTTTTCTAGTTGTGAATTAACAAGGATTTGAGAGGCTACTCTAGTGACTAAGTAATATATATATGCAACTAATTGAAGGGGTGTGAAAAAATAAAGCTTTTTTTGGCTGTACCATTTTAGGTGCAGGTTGGGGAAAGAACATCTTTGAATGCTCTTTAATCTTAAAAATAAACTGTAAGAGCCTGTTAGATCAGGCCAATGGCCCATCTGGTCCAGCATCCTATTCTCAAACGAACTTTCAGGAACATAGAAAACCACCATGCTGGGGAGAAGGATTCGATTTAGGCTTCTCACTGACATGCTATTTTTCTATTTAAGGGAGATTTGGGAAAGAGAGAGAGAGACTATGCTACTTCATTCAGCTGCATGGCTAAACTTAACTTCAGGATGCTGAATTCTGAAAATGACCCTGTGGGATTTGTGTGCTTTGCATTTGACGTAAGTAAGCAGAAGGAAAATGGGCCTCTCGTCCATAAAAATGGCTCTAGCCAAGAAGGAGCAGGAGAAGGAACCCTCTTCTCGCCTTCTATCAATGTTTCAACTTGACCTTATCTGTTCCATGCTATTTCTATTATATTTAGCGGTGTGCTAGCCACGTTAGCTGCTCTGATCATCAGAAATGTTTGCGCTTGCCAACCGTCCCATCCCAAGTGGGCAAAGGCATTTCACGGCGCTGTTTCCTTGCGTAACCGAGCCCTGCCCGCCCCTGGTGCCACGCGAGGAGGCAGGAGGAGCGCGCTGAACTTTGTCCCTTTCCTGGGAGCTGAGTCGGGAGCTTTCGGGGCGGGGGAAGCGGGAAACTGTTCCCCTCCAAGCCTGAGGCGCGCGGCTTGGGGGGCGCTGTGCGCTTCTCCTTCCTCGCCGCAGTCGGGAGAGGAGTTTCCTTGAAAGAGAAACCGAAGAGGGCCTGGCAGGGGCGGCGTCAGTTAAAAGTACACAGGGGAAGCAGGAGCGGGGCGAGGCGGGCCGGCCTGGCCGGGGCGGGGCGCTGGTGGCGGCTCCTCCTTCTCCGCGGTTGCCTGAGGCGCCTGACGGCAGCGTGGAGCAACAGTCTGGAGCGACCCATATGGGCCGACCGGGCTCTCGGAGCAGGCGAGCGTCGGTCTGACGGGGCGCGGGGCTGGCCATGCTCGCCCGCGTGCGGCGGCGGCTCCAGCCCTCCGGCGCGCCCTTCCCCGCGAAGAAGCCCGCCAGCGCGGGCTCTCCTGCTCCCCGGCCGCGCCGCTTGCCGTCTTCGTGGCGCGCCCACACAGTTGCTGGGCTGCGAGCGGCGGCTGTGGCAGCAGCAGCAGCAGCAGCTCCAGCTCGTTCTCCTCCTCCATGGAGCCCCGAGGCTCCCGCGAGGGCAGTAGCGGCGACGGCAGCCCGGAGCTGGGCCGGGGCAAGCGGCTGAGCGTCGGCGAGCTGCGCTCGCTCTTCGAGGCGCGCTGCGCGGCCCCCAGCAGGCAGCTGCCCGAGCCGCCCAAGAAGAGCTGCCGGCCGCGCAACGGGGTGCTGCCGCCGGTGATCCCGCAGCTGACCGTCACCCCCGAGGACGACGCCGATGAGGCGCAGCGCAGCCCGGCCGGGCGCCCGCGGACGGAGCCCGACGGCGCCTGGCTCAGCGCGGACCTGCTGTCGTCGTCGCGCCGCCTGTCCACGTCGTCGCTCTCCTCCACCGGGTCGTCGTCGCTCTTCGAGGACTCCGAGGATGACCTGCTCAGCGACACGGAGAGCAGGAGCCAAGGCATCGTCCACCTGGAGCATGGCGAGGAAACGCACCAGGTACGGACAGCCCGGCACGGGACCAGGAGGAGGAAGGGGCGCCGTGGCGGAGGCGCGGAGAGGCTGCCCGGGTGTCGGGCACAGGCGCTGCGCACGTGCGGGACCGGCTGCCTTCCTGGCAGTGGCGCCCCGTCGTCAAGAGTTTAGTTGCCTCGGAAAGCTCAAATCGACGAGTTAATCCGTAGCGCCGCGCTTTGGCACTGGGCCTTCTGAAGCCTGGAACGAGGTTCCTTCGCAGGTTGCACGGTTCCGACAGGCAGCGCAATCTTAGACACTCAGCGCAGTCTTAGGCTACTCAGAAGGAAGCCCCACTGGGACTTGCTCCTAGGTATGTGTGCATAGGATTACGGCCTCACAGTGTAACTCTTATGCATGTTTACTCTGGAGTAAGCCCTTCTTTGGTCTGTGTCCAGTGGCGGATGGCTTCCGGCTAAGTGTGCTTGCCTTATACAGTACACTTGCAGCTTTGCTGTGAAATAAATGCTTTGTGTGCATAAGAAAAAGGCTACATGAAGCTTACCTGTTGTGTAGAAGTTTGATAATTTCGCATGTGGGCTTTTTTCTCTGTGTGCGCATGCCGTTCCATCAGTAGATACAGGGGAAACCTGCAGGCAAGGTAAATTCCATAAGGAAAGTGCATATGGGTTTTATAGTGGTGCCTTCTAGGCAGGAATAACTTGTAAAGCGGCAGTGACATTGATCTCATATGAGTACAGTGTTGTTTACTTTTGTTAAAGACACCTCCAGCAGATGGAAAACACTGTATAAGTGATAGATTTGTAGGCCTGTAGGCACAGCCTCTGCTGTGAATACAGCATAATGGGCAGTATGATCATATGCATGTACATCTGTATATGTAATATCCTGGATTTCTGCAATAATAGCATTGCCTCCCCTCCCACTCTGTTTCTTTTTTTGAGATGCTAGGATCACTGTGTGTAAGCTAAGATTTAACCAGTGCAATCTGGTCCTTAACTGCAGGCTGAATAACTCTGTGAGGCACATAAGTTTATATTGTGATGTTTCACCAACAGAAATTGTTCACTGCTTCTGTTTTGTATCCAGCTAAGACTGCGAATAATACTAAAGCAAAGTCTTCCGTTCTGTGAACAGACCAGTGGTCTATCCTAGCTTTAAAAATGAAAGTGTACAACAAACAGGTCAATTTGGGAGTGATAAGACTCTCTCTCCCCCATTGTCTTGCCTTCCAGCAATGTTGGTTCAGAGCACCTGTTAATCCAGGACTTTCTGTAGTATGTAACAAGTATTAGTGTGGGAGCATTTGTCAGTGGACAAATATGGTGGGTGCCTCACATGTGGCTTCTTCACAGAACTGAATGTTTTAAGGCAGTGGATGGTTTAATGCCTATCAAGGGGGTTCATCACTCTCAAGCCAAGCATGTAAAAAATTGTAATATTTCAGATATGGGAATGTTATAATTCAGATGGTGATTCTTGAATGTTTCAAGTCAGTATGATTACTTGCCAGTGTTTCCATGAAAACCTGAGAACTAGAATAGATGGGTCTATTGAGTTCTGCGGTGCTTTGCCAGGGGTGGGTGTATAATGCAGCTTGCAGTTGCATGTTTCCAAGTATAGAGTCTTGAACTGAGAGTGAAATCGGGATCCTCTGTGTGTCTGAGAGCGCATTTCTAGCTTTAAAGGCTGTAAAAGATTCGGAAAATACGTATACTATATAATTCTGTTAGCTTTGTTAGCAAAAGTTGTCCTGCGGAGGTCTTCCTCCTTGCACTTCCTTGTTATCAAATTGAAAAGAAAATGAAATAGTAATGGAGGAGTGGGTGGAAAGCTTCACAGATAAGCCTGAAGTTGTATGACAGTTGCTGGTGAAATCCCAGCAACCAGAGGGGGGTGGAAGCAGGATTTCCACTGTTCGTGGCTGCCGTACCTTCCCTATGACTTTGTCTCTTCCCATCACTAGCAGACATAGAATGAAGTATGTTGTAAACCATTGGTTCAGTTTATGTAATATATTTTTCTTGCACACCGCCACCATGTGCATCCTAGGGTTGCGTTTGAATATCATGACATGTGAATGGTGCAATTATGGATAATGTTGGCAGCAATACCAGCGATTACTACAGCACTTTTCATGAGTTCCACAATCTTGGGTATTGCTGCCAGCTTTATTAGTGAAATGATTGTTTGTTTGGAATACATATTTTGGCTTACGAAACCAAGATATGAGCAAGCCTTTGTGCTTATACACCTTGTCTTTGCACTGCAGCTTCCATCCTTCTGTCGTAGTTGACTATTTCGTGGGATAATTACGTAACCATTGCTTCCTATTAAACATCTGAACTGGGAAACTATGGCTAATAAACTCGGAACAAACCATGGCTTGAAATCACAGTTTGAAGTTGGTTTCATATCTTGACTTGTTCCAAACTTCATTAATGTTGTTTTGTTACATCTTAACAGGAAACTATAGTTAATTAACACAGGGAATTTTCAATCATGGCATGCCAAGAAGGGAAGAGGGAAGGAGCAGTTCATAGACGGAGCATACAGGCACAAGGTTGGTCTGTATCTCAGTTAAATATATGTATGAGCTGGAGCTAAGTTTTGATATGCTAGTGTATATCCAAGGAAAGCTGCAGAGGATATAATGTTCAGCCAAACCATGGCTTAGCACAAATGTGCAAGCATAAAAGTTCTCAGAGGTGACCCTGGTTCTTCTGCTGCTGCTCGGCTGCAATGAAACCATGGTTAGGCTTAGCATGTTGTCCAAGCCAGGACTCAGGGTTTGTCTGAGGCAATCTCAGGTTCAGATGAAATGACATGGCTGAGTTTATAGCAGCGAAGCAGCAGGAAGACCAAAAGAGGAGCAAAACAACTGCAGTTTCCTCTCTGGGAGCAGCCTGCAAGCTTGCATGTTTGCCAAAGGTGGTACCTCGGTATAGTGGTACCTCGGGTTACAAACACCTCGGGTTACAAACACTTTGGGTTACAGACTCCGCTAACCTGGAAGTAGTACCTCGGGTTAAGAACTTTACCTCAGGATGAGAACAGAAATTGCGTGGCGGCAGCGGGAGGCCCCATTAGCTAAAGTGGTACCTTAGGTTAAGAACGGTTTCAGGTTAAGAAAGGACCTCTGGAACAAATTAATTTCGTAACCAGAGGTACTACTGTACATGTGAACTCGACCATTATTGTGTGAACAGGTCTTTGTGATCCCAAGTATACTTAGAATTCTCCCTAACACTGGATTGAGTTCAGAGGAGTTTACTCCCAAATATATTGGCTTAAGTTGGAGGCCTGGTACTGTTATCCTGTGTGTAACTGCCTGAGAACATTCTATTTCTTTCAGTGAAAGTTGAGTGCATTGAGGTTTAAAATACCACAGTGCAGTCTTATAGTGCATTTTCTTGGAGATAAACTCTGTTGAAATCAATAGAAATTGGTCCAAAACAAAACTGCAATCCTAGGCTACCCTGCTTCCTGTTGGTTTCTGCTTTCCTTCACTGAGCAGCAACTGCAGTCACAAGACAGGTGTTTACATTCCACAGTCTGTACTGTTGGAGTTTCTCACGGGAAAGGGAGACTGGATGTGACGTACACTGGTTTCCTGTTTTTTCACTCTGTGATTCTCTCCGAGCTGAGAGAGGAGAGAGGATGCTTTTTCTGCTCCTGCAGAGGCAAGATGTCTTTCTGTAATATACCAGCTTTGAACTGTAAATAAAGCAATATAGAGTATGTAACACATTTTCCTCATCCTTCCGCTGGCCACCAAGACTCTGCTTTAAATCAACACGTGGTTATGGACTCCAGAGGTCGAATCGGAGTGCCGGCAGAGGATCGGAATGCAGAGGGAGGACAGATCGGAACGGAATCTGCTCTGCGCGTAGAAGTGATTGATGAGGTATGTGCTACTGCTCCGGGCAGCCTGCCAGCTTCAAGTTAATGGCTTTATGGCTGGACTTTGAACTTTTAAAGCCGGTTTTGCCGGGAATAGGCAAAAGGCTCCCAGGCACAAGTCACTATGCTGGGGAAATCGAAAGTAACTTTTAAGTGTGCCTTTGTAATGAGGCAGCTGCAGCAGTGACGCAGCAAGATTTAAAGCAGCATAGATATGACGCTGAAGGCTAATGCCAGAGTCATGATGGCCCTTCAGGATGCTTGTGGGATTCCTAAGCTCAACAAGAAGAATTACAGCGACTGGGTTCAGTATGCAGAGGCAATTCTGCGGAAAGAGGGTTTGTTTGAGGTGATTACAGAAACCCCCCCAGTTCCAGTTACAGATGCATGGGAAGCTAAGGATTCCAACGCAAGGGAACTCTTACATTGATAGTATCCCCAGAAGAGCTCTGTCTATTGCGTGATAAGACCTCAGCCAGAGAAATTTGGGACGCTCTGAGAGAGGCTCACTTAAGGACAGAAGCTGGATCCACTATGTTTTATTTTAACAAGCTGCATAATATGGCTCTTGCTGAAGGTGGAGATGTGCGTTTACATCTAATGGAGATGCAAAATCTGAGACATGAGCTGCAACAGAGAGGACTCAACTTTCCAGAGGCTGTGTATTCTTTCATGATACTACAATCTTTGGGTTCAGGTTGGGAGTCTGTTGCAACCCAGATTGCTGTGCAACCAACTGCTCAGCTGACAGTGGACTTTGTTACTGCCGTGATTTTAAATGAAGCAGATCGCCGGGGTGCTAGCTGCATGGGCAAGGAGAGTCTTCACAGACGTCATCCCATAGTGCAGTGGAACCACCAGATGGCGCCAAAGCTTTGAAGGCAGTGAAATGCTACTCGTGTGGACGTCTAGGCCATATGAAGAGGGAATGCAGACATCCCAGGGCCAAGACAGAGCAGCGCAGCGAAAGCTCATCGCGCGGAAAAGGCCGAGGCAAAGGCAAAGGTCCGGTGTCTAGGACAACGCAGCACAAGGCTATGGTTTCACGCTTCACTCCAAAGGTTGCAGAGGTCCAGAAGACGTCTAGATCTTTCTTCGTTGTTGATTCAGCGGCCACCCACCACATGTGCAACGATAAGAAACTGTTTGTGTCTTTTACACCGCAGGAAGGTGCGATTCACCAGGCGGATGACCACACTATTCCCAGTAAAGGCTACGGAACTGTTGTTCTTCACAGTTTGGACTTATCGATACAGAATGTGCTTTACGTGCCAGACGCCAAACATAATCTGCTCAGCGTTGGACAGCTGAATGAGCGGAACATTGACGTTTCCTTCAAGAACAAGAAGTGCATCATCACAAAGAAAAATGATTATGTATTGCATGCAGAATATGTTGATCATTTGTTTGTTTTGTATTATGATGATGTGGTGCAGGATGACACTTGTTGCATTGCAGGTTCTAACAAAAGTTTGCATGCAGAATGTATTCACGATTTTCATCGCAAATTTGGTCATTTGCATTTTGAGGCAGTATCTAAAATGCCTGCCTTGGTTGAAGGTATGACTATTAAACCCTGCAGGTACCACATGAAGTGCAAAGCATGCGCAGCAAACAAAGTGAAAATGGCTGCGAAAGGTAAGGTGTCTAGTAGGAAAGCTACAGAACCATACCAGGTTGTTCATGCTGATTTGGTTGGACCACTATCGCCCTCTTTGGGTGGAAATAGGTACTTCATGGTTCTCATTGATGCATTTTCTAGATATATTTTTGTGTACAATCTCAAGCAGAAATCGGAGGCTTTTCCTAGGTTCAAGGAATTCTGTGCTTGGTTGGAAAATGTGCATGGTAAGAAGATAAAGACTCTTTTCAGTGATCGCGGGGAATTCACTTCTCAGCAGTTTGAAGCTTTTCTGACTGAGAAAGGAATTCAACACGATTTGTCTAGTCCTCGCTCGCCATGGCAGAATGGACTTGCGGAACGGGCAAATCAGACATTGCTTCAAGGGTTAAAGACCTTGCTGCATGATGCCAATCTTCCAGAGAGTTATTGGGCCGAATCTCTCTCGTGTTTTGTTTACAGTTACAATCGCAGGCTATCTTCAGCGATTGGTTGTACCCCCTATGAGAAGATGTTTGGCAAGAAGCCATACATCAAACACATGAAGATTTTTGGTTCTGACATGTGGGTTCACTCACCACAAAACTCCAAGTTAGACAAGCGTGGATTGCATGGTATCTTTCTAGGTTATCAGAAAGGGTCTTACAGAATAATGATGACTGACTCTAAGACAATTAAGCTCACGAGAAGTGTTGAGTACAATGCAAAGTGGGGGAGAATGTGGGAATTTTCCAATGTTATCCTGATGACGGTGATGAGACTGAGGATAGTCAAAAGCAACCACAACAGCCCACACCCACTGATGAAGGTTCTGAGTCTGAATCTGAAACTGAATCGGGTGATTCAGAGGATTTCGAGAGTGCGAAAGCCTCTATGCGACCCTCTGAAAGCTCTGATCAAGAATTGGAGGAACCATTGTTCACAATAGGTCGTTTTTCTCCTAAGAAGGAAGAGGAGAGTGTTGAAGACTTAAGGATAATTCGTAGGTCACAGAGAGCCACAAAAGGCAAACCTCCAAAGAGATTTGCTGATGAGTTTGCTAAGATAGCAGTAACAGCTGTTAAAAGCTCCAAGAAGGTATTTGAACCTTCAAGTTTCCAAGAAATCCAGGGTTTGGATTCAAAGGAAGCTGAGCCATGGTTAAATGCCATGAAGGCTGAGCTTGATTCCTTAGAAAGGAACAAAACATGGGAGCTAGTTCCAGTAGTTCCAGGAATGAAACTGCTTGGAAGCAAATGGGTCTTCAAAGCGAAGACAGATCAAAATGGCAAGATAGTCAGACACAAAGCCAGATTGGTAGCCAGAGGTTTTGCACAGGTACCAGGTGAAGACTATCACGAGACCTATTCACCCACAGTGAGATATGAAAGCATTAGGCTTATGCTCAAGCTAGCTGCAGAGGAAAATCTACACATTAGTCACCATGATATTAATACAGCTTTTCTGTACGGATCTCTAGATGAATCACTTTATATGCTTCCACCTGATGGCGTACAGGTAAAACAGGGATTTGTTTGTGCTCTGAAGAAATCCCTTTATGGTCTCAAACAAAGTGCACGGTGTTGGCACACAAAACTCACTGAAGTATTGTTTTCTCTAGGTTTTCAGCAAGGGAAAGCTGATCCATGTGTATTTGTCAAAGAGGAGGGGCAAAAGAAACTGTACTGTTTGTTTTATGTTGATGATTTATTATTCTTTTGGAAAGATGTTGCAATGTACAATAGCGCCCTAGCTCAACTGAAAGAGCACTTTGACATGAAAGATCTTGGTGAGGTAAACAACTACCTATCTCTGGAAATAGAGAGAGATCAAGATGGTAACATTCTAGTACACCAGTCACGGAAAATTGCTGATGTGTTAAGCAAACTAAATCTGATGGATGCTAACCCTGTAGACACACCGATGACAACAGGTTATCAGGTAGATGACACTGAAGAAGCATTTTCTGACACTACACTGTACAGGAGTGTGCTAGGCAAGCTAAACTTCATTGCCAGATGTTCAAGACCAGACATTGCTGTTAGCTGTAATTTGCTAAGCAGACAAGTCAACAATCCTAGTGTCAAGGATTGGAAAGCTCTGAAACGCATAGCGCGGTATTTGAAAGGCACTATGCATTACAGACTGAGATTTAACAATCAGAAGTCTGGTGGTCTTGAGATATTTGCAGATGCAAGTTTTGGAAGTGACGCTACAGACAGGAAAAGTACGTCTGGAGTTTGCTACATGTACAATCAGAGTCTGTTTGATTGGTCATGCAAGAAGCAAACAACAGTTAGCTTAAGTACTTGTGAAGCTGAACTGAATGCACTGTCTTATTCACTTAAGGATTGTGAATGGTTAGTACAATTGTGCAAAGATATGAAAATTCCTGTCAAATGTCCAATCCAGGTTTACCAGGACAACAAAGCATGTTTGGCTTTGCTGAAGTCTGAAGGTTGTAAGCAAAGCACAAAGCACTTGCAATTAAAGTTGCAGCATGCTAGGGAATGTATTCAGAAGGGACTCGTAACGGTGTCCTATATGCCAGGTAATGAAATTCCTGCTGATGTATTGTCCAAGATTGTATCGAGGGATCAACACTGTACCTATGTGCAGAAGTTGGGTTTGTACTGATATTGTGCAAACACGCTGCCCAGTGATGTTCACAGAAAGGGGGAGGATGTTGGTTTCTATTTCCTTCACTGAGCAGCAACTGCAGTCACAAGACAGGTGTTTACATTCCACAGTCTGTACTGTTGGAGTTTCTCACGGGAAAGGGAGACTGGATGTGACGTACACTGGTTTCCTGTTTTTTCACTCTGTGATTCTCTCCGAGCTGAGAGAGGAGAGAGGATGCATTTTCTGCTCTCACAGAGAGGCAAGATGTCTTTCTGTAATATACCAGCTTTGAACTGTAAATAAAGCTATATGGAGTATGGAGCACGTATTACTCATCCTTCCGCTGGCCAACAAGACTCTGCTTAAATCAACACTTCCTTGGGAGTAAGGCCTGTTGAATTCAGTAAGACTTCTGAATAGGCAGGATTTGGATTACACAGTAAATGCATGTAGATTTGGTAGTGATAATGCTTCTAGAAATGTACAAACTGATAAGGGCATATGGAAGAATGAGGACACTATGCTAGATGGCAGTTCATGTTGGTGATTAATTCTGTCCTATGGTCGGTTTGGTTCAGAAGTGTCGTATGCTGTAGCAGCTGTACAGGCTTTTAAAGGGGGGCAGTGCCTAGCATTTTATAAAGTGCTTTAAAGTGTTCCACTGCTTCACCTGCAATATTTCTGTGATCCTCACTACATTCTTATAAGGTGGGCCAATATCATTACTGTTAGAGCGACAATTTTTAGGCACACCTAAACCCATGGATTTCTGGTATATGCATTTTCTGCATATGGATTGCGTTACTAGCTGAAGTCTTTGATACCCCCTTCCTTCCACCCCTTCATAACTTAGGTTTGTGTGAAAGTAGACAGACAGGCCCAGGTGAGCTTAAATTCTCATACTTTTGTTAAATTAACTTTTGAGGCAGTTCAAATTGAAGCACATCATGCCTTCTATATAGGATATTTGCCCTGCAGGTGTGTGAACGGGTTCATCCACCGTCACTTTATGATTTATGTTCACTGGAACTGTTGCAGGGTTTTTGCTCTGATGTGAGCGTTGTCTTTCCAACATATTTTCTGTTTTGGGTAAACTGTTAGTCGGCTTTGATCAAATAATTCTAAGTCATCTTGTCAGTGTGGCAAGGAGAGAGCGTGGATTGGTTTATACATAATGCCGTAATACATAAAAAATTCTGACCAGCACTACAGCCAGTTTAGTGGTCCTAGATATAAACAAATATTTAGGGGATATTCAGGAGGCAGGTGCCAACAGTTTCTTTGTAATTATAGCTTTCCCTCTCTTGAAGCTTTACAATCTATTTATTTGCTTTTTTAACTGGACATATTTCAAATATTATTATAATTACTTTATTTTTTATGACATTTTTCAAAGGTGTTAACCAGCAGGCATTTCATTCCCACCCACTTTTTGACTCGATACCAGTTTTAAAACTGCTTCTTGCTGTGTGTGTGACTGGGGATTGGGAGGTGTTTGGAATGATTAGCAAGCATACCGCTGTCCACTTTGGCAATAATTCGTTCTTTCCAGTAAATCTGTTCTGCAATTTGGCAGGTGCTCATTAACATAAAGTCTTCTTCTTTTTTTTTTTTTTAAAAGGAAAGTAAGTTGTTTTTCATGGCATTTATGGCAGCTATTTTCCTTAGTTCTTATCACGGTTTTCTGGAGGAACTCGAACTGAAATCTGTTTTCCTTTGCAAATTCCTTTTCCTACCATATTGAGAGCACACTGTTAATAATAGACAACTCAGTCATTTGAGCAATTGGCACGGAATCTTTTCTAAGGAAAACAACACTTTAAAAAAAAAAGGGGGAATTGGAATGATGAATTGGAATATGTTGATAAAGCGTAGATACCACAAACTGGAGTAATACTCTCGGGACTGCATTATAAGAACAACAACAGTCAAGTGATTAGAGGAGACGAGTCATTCGACCTTTGGGCTGCTTTTAATCCATATGCTCATAGTCTTGTGGGTTTAGTTTTGCAGTTTTATGTGCTTTTTTAAATTGGGTCTATAAAATGAGCTGAAATCAACTCTCTTTTTTAATAGGGATGTTGCAATGCCGGATTACTTTGTCTTAATATTTTTGCTTTATGTACCTTAGTGGGAGCTAGGCATATGTATAATTAAAATGTACCGTATTTTTTGCTCTATAAGACTCACTTTTCCCCTCCTAAAAAGTAAGGGGAAATGTGTGTGCATCTTATGGAGCAAATGCAGGCTGTGCAGCTATCCCAGAAGCCAGAACAGCAAGAGGGATTGCTGCTTTCACTGTGCAGCGATCCCTTTTGCTGTTCTGGCTTCTGAGATTCAGAATATTTTTTTTCTTGTTTTCCTCCTCCAAAAACTAGGTGTGTCTTGTGGTCTGGTGCGTCTTATAGAGCGAAAAATACGGTATTTATCCTACTTCTCAGTCCAGAGATCCCCTCCAAAGTGGCTATCAATAAAGCAATTATATAATTAATGAAAACAAGCACACCCACCCACACCCTCCCAGGCCACAAGAAGTGATTGTAAAGCAGTATCAGTTTACATATAGCCCAAATGCTGTTGGAATAGATACAGGAAGCAAAGCTATTATAAAAAGCCACTTTGCATGCTGTTTGTTTACCTGTGACCACAGAAAGGTGGAGATTTTGTATGGTATTTCAAGTGTCTTGTTAGGCCATTGGCAAAACATGTACAGAAATGTGGCTTGGATCAGTGTCAGATAATTGTAGGGTTCCAAGCTTTTCTTTTAGCAGAACTGAAAAAACTGGATTGAGTTTTCATTCAGGCTGTCAGTCTGATCAGCATTAGGGATGTGTATTCAGGATGGTACATGAGGGCCAAACTAAATGTGTCGTGGAAGGTCTGTGAATAGGATTTTCTAATGGTTAACAACAGCTGCAGCAAGACCCAATTGAGACAGCAGTGTTAAGGCACCCATAGGTTTCCCCGGGAAGGTAGGGGCGGGACGGATGGACACAAATAGCAGCAGGGATGGGGCAGCAATTTTCATTGTAGAAATTGTATGCATGGCATTCACCTCCTGTGGCTGCTTCTAATCCTTTAAATGCTATGGGAGTTTCTAGCATTCAATTGTAGAGTTGGATGGGACCCTGGGTCCCCTAGTCCAGCCCCCCTACAATACAAGAATCAGGATGGGGTTTGAGGGGTTTTTTTTAAGCACACATCCATATTCACCCCTAGACAGGAGAGGGAGATGCCCCTGCCTCAGTTCCTGGAAGTGAATCACAAGTGTTTGTAGATCCCCAGATGTTGTTGGACTACAACTCCCATAATCCCTGAGGTCTGGCCTTGCTAGCTAGGGGTGATGGGAGTTGTAGTTCAACAACATCTGGGGATCCACAGGTTGAGAAAGGCTGCTCTACAGCAGTGGTTCACAGTGAGCTAAGTACTGTGGACCAAGCCATGGACCCTCTACTTTTGAAAATGTTGATATCTTTTTACACACTGAGCTTCTCAGGTAGACTGAAAGGGGAGTAAAGGCTTGATTACCTAGTTTCTCCCAGGGTGAGCAAAACCCAGCAGGACAGCTTACTTTATGGTCTTAACTCCTTCATGTGTTAGACTTAAGTATGTTGTTTATATGAGGCTGGTTATCCCACAAAGATCTTTTCTTGGGGGGGGGGGGCTTTATACTCTGAATATGTTTTACTTTGTGCTGTTGTTGAGTTTAGATTCTTGAGGTTTTAACTTTCAGCAGTTTAAGTTTAAAATATTGTATATTTTATTGTTGTAAACTGCTTTGAGATGAATAGTGAGATATAATATGTGTATGTATGTATGTATATATATGTGTGTGTGTATACTACTACTACTACTACTACTAATAATTGGCACCTGTGAGTCTTGAGAGACAATGGAGTGTGCCTTTGTGGGTGGAAGTCAAACCACTGCCTTTGCAGCACTGAAGTGACTTCCCCAAGTTGCAAACCTAGCATTGTGTATGGAGATTCTGGGCTACCCAGACGACAAGACCCCCCTCTCGGCCTTACTGATATGGTCCAAAGGAAAGCAGAGCAATATGTTAGGCATCAGCTTGACTGCAGGAGTAGCCTGAAAGAGGCATGCAAGACACGTACACGTGTGTGTGTGTGTTCATTCTACCTAATCAACCGTTCCCTCAAAGTAGGAATCACATTACTCCTGCAGTGTGTAACAGCTAGAACCCTAGAACCCAGTCAGCAAAATCCACACCATGTGGATACATAGAAGTGAGCCATTCATAATCCAGCAAAATTATCAAGCCATATGGAAGGAGACACATATCAATCACAATTTGGCACATATAAATTTTCAATAATAATTAATTGGAAGACTATCTCACAAAATATGCATAAAGTTAGCTTTATTATATTAGCCATCACCAGCGCCTGTCATCAGTTTCCAGAGAGATGACTTAGTTGGCGAAGTGTCAAAGGGTATAATACTTCATAATGAGTTTCTCTGATATTGATACAAGATGAGTATGCCAAACTCTGTGAAAGCATTTTATTCCACACTCGTGATTGAATAGGATAAAACCATTGAAAAGAGCTTAATCAGTTATAGTAGTCAAAGGGGGGGGGGCTGTCTTGACATGTGTAATATTGTATATTATAACATACAAGACTCATTTGTTATAACTTCTGGTCCAGTCTTGAGACCTCACCAACCAATTTAAAAATTATCACTATAAATGAGTGTCAATAATATAGATCAACTGCTGTCCTTATAAAACAATCTGTCCTTTATAAAACGAGTCAGATGAGACTGAATATGAATATAGTCTGAAATAATCTTGTTTAATCTTTTTGCACAGACAGCTGCTAAATTTTGTAATCTTGGTTTAAAAGTGGTATCGGATGATACGGTGAGGTCAGTGGTGGATTTTTACCTTTTTTGCATATTAATATAATCCATGCCTCATTCCTATGATAACAGTGAATGGTTTCAGAATAAATGGTTTGACAGTTGCCACCTTAGCTTTTTCAAAGCATAAAACAAATACACTTCAAACCATGGATTATGAAGCTCGTTTGTTTCAATAAATCATAGTTAAGATGAATCACCTTTCAAGGTTTGCACATAACGCTAAACTATGGTTAACTGAAGAAATATTTTATTTATACATTTAACATAATTTATATACCTCTACTAGAACAAAAGATATCTAAGTGGTCTTCTGTTTGCCTTGAGGTTACGCCAAAGGAGTGGGGAGGCTTGACTGCACAAGACCAAGACTCATTCACTTAACATCAAACCATGGGTGTGATAATGTGCGTTCAGTGTGGGATGCAGGCACCTTTTTGGGATGCTATATGCACAGGGTCATCCCCATGTTGCTCCTATTCCACACTATTTGTCAGCCTACAATGCATTCTGCTAGAACAGTTTTAGTGTATTTTTGGTCTCTGTGGAAGCTGCCCAGAGTGGCTGGGGAACAAATAAATTATTATTATTATTATTATTAAAGTGCTTGCTGCATACATGTGTATACACAGAGAGAGCACTTCCTCAGGTCATCTCTTACTGGAGCAGAGCTACTGATGTTGCCTGGCTGTGTCACTCCACTCGCCCTGTTTAACTTGTCTATGAGTGAAATAGGAAACAGTACAGTAACTTACCTGCCTCTGTGTACCAATATATTTCCTTTGTATATCAGTATAGCAACACACCTCTGTTTTGAAAGACAGGGCAAATATTTTAAAAACCAAATCTCTGGAAACATTTATTGTGAGGAAGGGAAAAGAGAAGTCTGTTGCACAGTAGTGTGAAAAACATCACCACCTGTGTGTGTGAGCAAACAGGGTAGTTCTTGCTGCTGCTTTAGATGACACTATCAAGCAAAGGTGTGTACAGTTGCAAACTGCTATGTACAAAAGTGCACTCTGAAAAAAATGATGTGTGTGCATTTCAAAAGCTGCATGTGTACGTGGCCTTTTAAAGTCCAGAGCTTTATCAGATCAAAAGGCCCATTTGTCCAGCATCCTGTTTCTCACAGTGACTAACTAGATAGCTAGATAGGTAGCCCAAAAGCAGGATAGGAGAACAACAGTCCTCTCCTGCTATTGTTCCCCAGTGACTGTCATTCTGAGGCATTTTCCTTGGGTCATGTGCAGTTAGAGAAGCAGTTCAAGGATCAGCTTTCCAGTGCACATACTCATGGCAAAATAAATAGTTGAACCATAGTTGCATGTAACATTTTGTATGGGTGTCATGATTGTTATCTCAGTGCAATTGCATTAATGAGTCATTGTTTTGGCTGTGCTCTTGGACTTTCAAATAGGCATAAACAGGATAAACGAAGAAACAAAATTCCATTCCATTCATTTTATTTGTCTGCTGTTTATCCACACACAAAAAAAATCATCCTCAAAGTGGCTTACAACAAACAGGGATGCATTTCAAACAAACACTACAAAAAATAGCAAAACAAAATAAATATAATAACATATTAAAAAACCCACATTCAATACTATAAATATAACAAGATTAAACAACATGCAGTATCCAATAGCCAAAAGAACAAGGGAGCTTCACAGTTTCACCTTAGCCCTAGAAACACCCCTCCCATTATGTTGCTCACAATCCCTTTCCAGCAGCAGAAGCTTATAAGGCTTCCAAGGGGGAGGGGTGGGGTAGCTGGAAACACCCATCCCATGATGTCTGCCACCTGTAGAAGTTAGACAAATTGAAAATGTGAACATGGGCCTTATTTTGTGTTATGATGCTTCTGCAACTCACCGAGAGAGGAAATGAGGCAATAAACTGAAGGGCATCAGAACACTGCTCAGCCCATTATTCCTATCTTTTGGCTCTGTGACTTCACCAGAGAGTCACGTACTGTATTTTTCGCTCTACAAGCCACACCCGACCATAAGATGCACCTAGTTTTAGAGGAGGAGAACAAGAAAAAATTATCTCCCTCTCTGCGCAGCATCCCTTCAGCGAAGCGGCAGGAGAAAGGGAGCGCCTTCCATTTCTCTTCCTGCTTCGCTGAAGGGGCGCTGCGCAGAGAGGGAAAGCTGCGCAGCGCCTCTCCAGCAAAGCGAAGCCAGAAGAGCAAGAGGGATCGGTGCAGACCGATCCCTCTTGCTCTCCTGGCTTCAGGGATAGCCGCCCAAAGCCTCCGGAGTGGAGCGGGAACGCTCCTGCTGCGCTCCGGAGGCTTTGCGTTGCTTTCGCTGAAGCCATGGAGTCTGCATTCGCTCCATAAGACGCACACACATTTCCCCTTACTTTTTAGGAGGGGAAAAGTGCATCTTATAGAGCGAAAAATACGGTACTTATTTTAAGTCTGTTTTCAAAGATTTAAGGACTGTTAATTTTTTTTGTTTTTAAAGACAGCTGAGATTCTCAGAACAATAACTTACGTACTCAACATGTGTTGCAATAGCAGATCACAGAGTATATACAGCCTTGGGCATAAAGGGGGGGGGGCATGAATTAGAATACTAATCCTGTAAACCAGTCAATAAGTATCCAGCAAAATTAAATGTCGTCTTGTTTCTGTGGTGATAAATTTGACATTTTGGGGGAGAAGGAGCACTCATCCAAATGATTCTTCATTAGCCTTGGGCTTACTGCCCTCTTTATGCCTGTAGAGACATTAGAGAGTGTTGTTGTGCCTTAATTGTCAACAGCTTTATTATTTCATCTGTTTTCATTTGTCATAAACCATTTTAAAATACAGCACCCACATTTCATAACTGTGAATGAAAAGTACCCATTATTTCAGCTCAGAAGCAAGTTACATAATCCAACGGTGTAGAATGTAATTTTCTTAAATTACTCAAAGTTGGTGAAAAGGCTTCTAATGGGTTTTTAAGTGGTGGTTTTAAAATTCTGGTTTTTCTTATTGGATTGACATTTGAACTAGAAGGGTGGTTCCTAACTGCTCTAATAAAGAAAGAATTGACATATCCCTAGACATTGCAATTCTCTTTTTATTGTACAAATAATATCGTATGTTGTTCTCTTCATACTGATTCTCCTTTTTTTATTCCCCATGTACTTTCAAGCTATTACTAGCTGCTGAACAGCTACTTCACAAAACACATTTTCCTTACATGGAATAAAGTGGCCCTGAGATTCTAGTAATACTGGTTCTAGGTCTTTGTGTGGTCTCTTCCTGACAGAACAAGAACCACGAGCTTATTCCATACAACACAACATTGTGTGGGAAACAAACTTCTAAGCCAGAGATGGGGAACCTATCACCTTCCAGATCAACACTATCTCCAGCTCCCCTCAACCCAGCTCAGCATAGGGAGTAGATTTCCTCAATCCTAAAATATGCCCAAAAGCATTTTGATCTATCCCACAATGAAAAGTGAGGTGAATGAAAAAGAATAGTGTTTAGCTCTCATTATGACCAGTTTGAAAATGCCATGATGCAAATTGACAGGGGGTTAAAAGAGTTAAAATTTTGGGGGGAATGTCCAAAACAAAATTGTTTTCAGTTCAAATACACAGAGTTTATTACATTAAGAATTGTATGGGAAATGTCTGACTGGTGCAAATGAAACACAAAAGCCTTCACCTATCTTTGCAAATTAACTGTGATCATCCAGCTTTTGATGACCCTCATGGTGCCTTTTCATTCTTTTTATTCTACATGGATGGTATTCACCGTCAGTCGGGCACGTGTAATGCTGAATGCTAGCTTTGGTTGTATGATAGTTTCAATTACATAGACTTCCATGTGTCTATTCCACTGAACAGACTAGTCTGAGGCTTAGGTCTACCTCTCTGCCACCGACAGCCATTCACCTCCAAAATAGCAGTGAAGATTGTTATGGAAAGCCCTTAATACAAGATGTTAAACCAAAAGGGTTTTTGTTATTGTTCCGCTCTCCTTATGTGGACCTAATGCTGAATTAGTCGTCTGCCCCTTTGCTGGGGTTTTGTTTTAACAGTTGTTCAGTTAGAGCCTACCCATATTCACTTGTACTGCAAAGCAGAGCATGCTGCTTCTCAAGTGTGTGTGTGTGTGTGTGTGTGTGTGTGTGTGTGTTGGTGTTGTCAGAAATACTTCAAAGAGCAAGGCTCACTTGAGGCAGCTGCCAGACAGGTTTAACTGGGAGGAACTGGTATGGTTTTCCTAAGTAACTCGTATAAAGGTTGAATTAGATACATCCCAGGTCTTCTGGATGAGCATAATGCAGTTAGACCTGTTTGTAAATGTGTGTCAGATGGGTTTATTTGCATCACAGTCTCTCCATATTTGAGGACAAGTTCTGTGTTTTGGTTCTGAGAAATGGTGTCAGTCCTGTCCAGTAACGGAAGTCTCTTCTGCATTCAAGCTTTGTTGTAGATCACTGCAGGAAATGCACTAGTTTGAGGAGTGCTACTTGTCTCACTTGATGCTGTATGTATGCGTGTGTCCTGAGAATTGGTCATCGGAAATATAGTAATTGACTTGCCAGATCATCTCAAGCAGCTCTGTTCACCAGTGGCCATTCAGATGCTTCTGGATGGTTTCCTATTATTTGTTCACCCTCACCCCAGCCTTGGTACTCAGGAGATATATTGCCACCGAACATGAATGTTCCTTTTAGCTTCATCTATAGACATGTTCATGGGACACGGGTGGCACTGTGGGTTAAACCACAGAGCCTAGGGTTTGCCGATCGTTTCCGGCGTTTCTGTGCGCTGCTCTGGTTCACCAGAAGCGGCTTAGTCATGCTGGCCACATGACCCGGAAGCTGTATGCTGGCTCCCTTGGCCAGTAAAGCGAGATGAGCGCCAGAGTCGTCCGCAACTGGACCTAGCGGTCAGGGGTCCCTTTATAGACATGTTCTGCATGAATTAGCCTGGCCAGGACTGCAGTTATGTCTGGGTTTGCCCTCCACTCCCTCCTCTCCTCTCCCAATTAGCCTCCATCTCCAGGACTTGGTGAAAGGAGGGAGTAAAGAATAATAATAAACAGGGGCCACCCCTGTGACATCAACAGGGGCTGTCCCTAGGTCTTAGGTTTGGGCCTGAAATCTCAGGGTCTGGAATGTTTCTGACCTGGCATCCCTAATAACCAACTACTAGTGGGTGGAATCCATTATGTGAGTGGACTTCTCCACATACAGTGGGACTTCTGCTTTCCTTCCTCACCTCTGCAGCTCCTCCCCCTGCAAATCTGCTTTGCTCCAGGGCATCCCCCACTTTTATTCTGTGTGGAGGGCTGCAGTGGGGAAGAGAAGAAGGTGAAGTCCCATTGCATGGATAGAATTCCATTTTGCTTGTGCGTGGACAGCATTGATACAACACACTGTACTGTAAACAATGCAGACAAATACTTCCTCTGATGGAAGTCGTGGGGCAACTTGCAGTGCTGGCATGGCCTAACTTTCCATTCCTTTGTAAATGCTTTTTCCACATGCTTCAGTGAAAGAAGTGGTGTTGCAGTCTTGTCTCCCGTTCATTTTGGTGAGGTTTAGGGAGGTGTTTCTGGGCTCAGAGGCAAGTGCATTTTCTTGAAAAGTAGACAGCTGAGCTGTCAATGGATTATGATTTGCCTGCCATTTATGATTTCCCTAGGGGCATTTTCTTCATAGGTTACAATAAAATCTGTGGGCATTAAACATTTAGTGTGTATCTTTTCTTCTAACCCATAAAGTAAGTGGCTTCTTGCAGTGTGTTTCCATTGTGAAAAAAGGGACAGCCTTTGTACAGTTCAGAAATAGGTACTGTATACCTAATTTAACATGTGAAGCAGCTCCTACTGATTTCTCTTTTGAAATTATTTTATGCAGTCTGCTGCCTTTCAGTTCGTGTTTGCAAAGCCCTCAAAGCTTGTTTGATGAAGAAGTCCTGCATAAATGAATGTATTGTTTCTGTTTATTTTATGATGACAATTAGATACTGAATTGACATGACTTCATGGTCCGTAGAACAGAGGGAACACGTACCAAGGGCTTTGAGCAATAGGTTATTGACTTTGCACTTCAATTGTACCAGCCTGAAGACTGAAAGAAAGAGCAACTTCTTCCAAAGCCCTTTGATTGCACCCCAAAACCCAAGCAGATTTGAGAGCAAAGTCGCTACTTCTGTGATTGGGAAGAGAGAACTGAGGTTGGGGCTTGGTGGAAGAATGATGTAGGAACTCAGAATGGTATTAAGTCTTACAATTTGAGGATTTGAAATGGTGAATGCCAGAGTCCCTTTCCCTGCAAGATCAAGTGTGTAGTTTGGGGGTACTTCTGAGCCCACTACTGTTGCTTTAAGCCCGGGTGGCTTCAGTGATATGAAGTGCCTTCCATCAGCTTTGGTTCTCCGGATAGGGATATCCTACCATCTGTTGCCTATAATCAGGTATCCTGTAGCTTAGATTACACCAATGTGAGACTGTCTGAAGAATGATGAGGGCTCTGCTGACTCCAGTTCTTCATGCACCTTGTGCCTCTCCTCCCACAGTATAAGTTTGGAAGGAGGTGGTGACATTCACAGAGGACTAGACTTCCTGAACTCCCTTGGTGGCAGGGCGGAACAGAGGGGAATCATGAGCTTTCAACCAAAGGTCTCCAAGAAGGCTTGGAATGATGGAGGCAGTTCAGGATTGAGCTGGGTGGAACTCAGCCGTCACTAGTAAGAACAGACTCTTTGTACTGTGGCCCTGTTCTGTTTGTTGTTAATAACCCTGGCTATTTAGAGGCCTGAGGTTTCTGAGAAACCACCTGTCTGTTTGTATGCTAACATGACATTTAAAGATCACTAGACACTGTTTGCTTTTGGAACGTAAGTAATTATTATATTTTTTTGGTATTGTGGCAGCACTTAGGTGCCGGGGTTCCATTGTCACGGGCTCTGTAGAAACAGACATATTAAAAAGTCCTGTTCCTGATTACACAGAAGCTGAATTTAAGAGGGGAAGCAGCTGGTGGGGAGGATGACTGGAGAAAGTAGGAACAAGGAAAGCAGTGGTTCCAAAGAGAAGCCACCACTACCTAATCACCGATAACTATTTAGTCCATAGCTGAGAAATGTATGTAGCATGACCAAAGCAGAATAGAGTGAACCTGTACCATTGCTGGTTGTAGTTTGAGCACTAGAATTGCATGAGTTGTTTTAGCCACTGCATCACACTTCTGACTTACGTTTAAATCAGTAAAGCCCCCTGAATTCCCCATTTACTGCTATCAGGCCCGGAGGTCACTCATCCTGTATGTGTGCACTTGTTTTTGTCCTACCTAAATACAGAACTTCACATTTATGTTTGTTGAAAGCGAGTTTGTTAGTTTTGGCCTGATTCTCTGTCCTGCCAAATGCTATTGAATCCTGTTTAGTTATCCAACCCAATTCAGAGTGATCTGATGAGCACCCACTCTTTCATTCAAGCCATTTATAAAGCTATTAAACAATCCCAGGACAGAACTCTGTCGCCTACCCACTTGTCATGACTCTCCAGATTGAAGAGGAGCTATTGATGCACATTCTCCATGTATGGTGCATTAGCCACCTACAAAATCCACCTAACTGTAACATTGCATACATTCCAGTGTATATTGTCAACACCCTAAATTCGCACACATGCATGTGTACCAGTCTCTTGCATTTCACAAACCCTCTTTTTCCTCAGTTTGGGTGCTGTGCATGTGCCCTTGTTGTTTCAGCCCTCTGCCTGCACATCTATTTGTGATGTGCACATTTTTGTAGCTGCCATCACTCTTCTCCTTGCCGCAGATGCCTCTCAGTGAAGATGTACATCTGTAATATTACATATAATCTTTTACTTTGATGCAGGTTGGTTATCTGTCCCTGTGCTGTCAGTAGGAAGCTGCAGGGGATTACAGAAAATGAGGCTTGCAGATGGAGTAAAGAAAAAGAGGACGAAGATTATAGGAGGAAAACTAAAAACATGTTTCAGTTTTACATTAGCATAGCCATTATGGCTATTTATCCTAAAGGAATTCTGAGATTCCAATCTGCCAAAAAAGATGATACTATTACAATATGGAGCAAAGTTCTCTTGCTCTTGAAAGCACCTTGCTTTCCCCCCAATTTAGAGGGATGGTCTGAGACTTTCCCTCCTCTCCTCTCTCTGTGTACTTGTAAATAGATTTCTTGACCCCATTGTAGAGCTATGCTCTTCCCAGTATTCTAGGCATAATGACCAGACCTTCCAAAATTTGTGGTTGCCACTAAATTGAGGAAAGGGCAGGGTTTCATTCCTGACATCATGCTGAGCTCTCTCTACTATTCTCATAGTCCCTCTGAAGCCCACTGCAAGCATCTCAGGCTTGGAGAAGGATGGAGGATGCTATTTGAAATAATGCTCAGCTTCAGACGCATGGAGAAAGCATGTCCATCTCTCAACAGCTTAAAAGCTGAGCTCACTGTTGGTTATCAGGCTTCTCTGTTAAACCAGTGCAATTCTGAGAAGCAAATATGACCACATAGTTCCTGCGCAGAAGGCTTTTAAAAAAAGATACTAGAAAAGGCAGGGCAGAAGAGTTCAGTAATTCACAAGGTGTACGGATGGAGTCAGAGAAAGGCAGTGATGGCAGTAATGGAGGAGCAGGTAAGGTGAGGATGGTTCAGGATCAGCCTACCTAAGAAGTGGGTTTTGAGGAGGAACTTGAAGGGAGGATAGCCTAGCGGCTTGATTACTAGAGTTTAGGGAGGTTTTTGAAGTATAAAGAATTAATTGGATAGCATGAAAATAGGCACGGAAGAGGCAGGCAAATAAACGCTCATGGTGTCTTTCATTCTCATTTCTTCCTAGGTGTGGCTGAATTTAGAAATTTATTACTTTTTCTTGTAATAAGTAGGTTTTTTTGCCTTAAGTTATTTGGCTGTATAATATGAAACTTGCCTGCTGCCCTCCAGGTATATCGGGAATTGATCTGACTTGCTGCCTTTTGTTCTACCCATAAGATTACAGTTGTAATCCTTTGAATTTATTTATTTTTATTTGTGTTTAATTGCACTAAAGCATCCAAAGTAGTTCAGTGAAGCTTAATGGCAAGATTCAGGAGAGGAACAAGGGATTTTATTTTATTTTTTAAGCATAGGTAAAGGTAAAAGAACCCCTGACCTTTAGGTCCAGTCGCGGACGACTCTGGGGTTGTGGTGCTCATCTCGCTTTATTGGCCGAGGGAGCAGGCGTACAGCTTCCAGGTCATGTGGCCAGCATGACAGCTGCTTCTGGCAAACCAGAGCAGCGCACGGAAACACCGTTTACCTTCCCGCTGGAGCGGTATCTATTTATCTACTTGCTTTAAGGTGCTTTCTAACTGCTAGGTTGGCAGGAGCAGGGACTGAACAATGGGAGCTCACCCCGTCATGGGGATTCGAACTGCCGACCTTCTGATCAGCAAATGGGGGAATTCACTACTCCAAGATGGAGTGATGGCTACAACTGGGAAGGCCTTCAAAGGGTATTAGACAAATTCATGGAGGGATAAGGCTTTTGGGGCAAATAGTTGTTATGGCCTATCTCCAGCGTGCCTCTGAATACCATTTACTAGGGAGCAACTGTGAAAAAGAGTTGCTTTCCTCATGTTCCGCTTGTGGGCTTTCCAGAGGCATCTGGTTTGCTTCTGTGGGAAAGAGGGTGCTAGACTAGATAGGCTTTTGGTGGATGGTGTTGAGGTAAACTTTCAAGCAGGGATAAATTTATGACCAGCAGTAGATTAGATAAGTGAAACCTAGGATGAAAAAAGGACAACAGAGATGTAGCTAATAAAGAAAAGATCTGGGAAGTCAGGGAAGGGTAGGTTGGAAAGTACTGTAAGACTGTTGACAAGTTGAAAAATGCAAGCAAAATTTGTATTGGAAAATGTATAAATAACAAATAAATTCTAAAAAGGTAGACTTTTGGTTTGGTCCAGGTAGGCTCTTCTTGTGTTTGAATGAAAAACTGTCCCAATCAATGGGGCAGGAGATCTGGATTTAAAAGTTGATGGGCTGTTTGGGTCAGGGAACCTGAATCCACTCTCAAGGCTGGCTTCCCTGCAACCCTTTTCTCTCCAAATGCTTTCCTCTCAACCAACATTGCCTATGGCAGGCATGGCCAAACTTGGCCCTCCAGCTGTTTTGGAACTACAACTCCCATCATTCCTAGCTAACAGGACCAGTGATCAGGGATGATGGGAATTGTAGTCCCCAAACAGCTGGAGGGCCAAGTTTGGCCATGCTTTGCCTACTATGGTGTCAGTAACTGGAGAGAATTATGCACTCTTTGCCTGTGTAGGAGAATGAATAGAATAATAGTTTAGCACTAATTGATTGATCTACTCTGCTGTTAATTATTTTATTGATGTTTTTAAATGCTCTTGTTTTTATGACGAATTTACTTGTAGACCACCAAGGGATGTATTTTATGAAGTGTGATACAGAAAATATATATATAATATATTTGACAATAAGCTGGTCATTACAAAAGCTGTTGAAGTCTTTGGAACTTTCACGTGCAGAAGGAATCTGACGTCGTAAATGACTGTAAGCTTAGGGACATGGTACTATGAAACAATTGACACATGTATCGACACATCCTAAGCCTTAGGAGTAGGATAAACTATGAATTCTCATAAGAAAAAGCAATTTGCTTCTTGTAGACAGCTGACATCCTTAGAATGGACACAACTTAATGCCATGGAAATTAATTCCTATAAATATGCAGAGTGCTCGATCCAATGTTATTTTTTCTGCACCCCCTACATATCAGAGAATGCCAGAATATTATTTTTACCAGCTGGATAGATACTACTAAACTACACAACATATAGGAAGAAAGGCAAACCACATTTCTATTAAAGAACCCCACCTCCTTCAATTAACTAAAGAGAAGTATATAATTTACACTGACTCATTCTATGCTTTTAGGCAAGCCACATAATAAAATGAAGCACATAATAATAGTGTTTATTAGTTACTTCAGAAGGATGTTGTCAGGTTTAATTAATTAAGGAGCTTTGTGATGTTTGGACAAAAAGTGCCTTACTGTGGATACGAAGGCCAAAGGTGGATATGAGCCAAGGTACAGAGTCCAGACATACTCAGATTTTTCAACAGTTTGTGCTTCAGGTTCAGATTTATGGCAGATTTATTTCTGCCAGACTGATTGTAACATGACCATCAAAGCCAACTGGGGAGTTTATTTATTTATTTTATTAAATTTCAATATTGCCCTTCATCTGAAGATCACAGGGCAGTACAGATCTGCCTCTTTCCATATCTACAGTATAAACCCCTATTTCATGTAGCAGCTCTATTGGAAGTCCTAATTGTTTCATTCATCTTCGTAGGAGCCCTAATGAGAGGAACCACTTTTATTTTTGCAGAGGGAGAACAGATTTTTTTTTTTACTGAGGGAGTTTTACATTGACTTGTACAAAGCTGTACAGTCATGATATGCCTGAGCTGAGATTTCATCTCAGTTGGAGAATGCCTTAGTCACTAGCTTATGGTGCCTCTCTTAACATGCTAAATATTATATAGTTCATTGCCCCAGTAAAGCTTCCAGTTCCCCTGTGGTGTGTTCATCAAATGTGGCATGTGGCAAATTGGATGCTCTTTCATAGGACTTTGGAATGTTTCTCCAGGAAAGATCTGGCTGGTTGTCTCAAACAAATGCACAGAATTTAGTTGACGGCTGCTTCCATGACCCACAGTCCCTGTGCATTCTCAATTCTCTTAACAATGACTGCCTTCTCAACTCCTATCCCTGCAATGGCTTCCTGGAGCTCCTATCCTTAGTGGGGATTTTACCCTGCCCCACTTTCCTCATCCCCATACTTTCCTTAACACAGGGGTGTGGAACCTGTTGTTGTTGTTTTCAGCCCAGGGACTGTATTCTCTCCAAGGCCTACATGCCAGTGGTGGGTGGGGCCAGAGACAAAAGTGGGTGGAGCAACAGATTTGAATTTTACCTGTGTATAGTAGGCTAGTTTCCACATTCCCTTCTTTCCTCCTCCATGCAGGCAAGCAAGAGGCATTGTCAGAGTTCAATGATACTTTACAGCTAGGCAGAAACACTCAGGGAAGGGTGTAATGCAGGGCTGGTGAGGCGCATGGCTCAGGGAAAGTCCCACCCCGACTTAATAATTACCACTTAACTCATTGTTTGTTCTCTCCCTTGTCGTCTTTGTGCATAAATCCCTTATGTGAAGTCCAGTGCTGACCTTACCACCTTCTCTTTCATCTGAGCTCCCTATTAGCTTCCATACCTTTCTGGACCTTTCTCTACTTTGTTTCTTGGCTCTATCCCCCTTTGCCTCCCCAGTAGCAGCAGCGCTAGTAGCAGTATTCACCATTTTGTATAACACACTTGAGAGTTCAAAGTGCTTCTCATGCATTATCTTGTTCTAATCCTTATAACATGCCTGTAAGGTCGGTAAATATTAATACACTCTTATTGCAGATAGGAGACTGAGGCTGAGAGAATAGTGGCTTGTCTGAGACATACCTGAAGGCAACATTTGTACAGTGGTACCTTGGTTCAGGTTACAGACGCTTCAGGTTACAGACTTCGCTAACCCATAAATAGTACATCAGGTTAAGAACTTGGATTCAGGATGAGAACAGAAATCGCGCGGTGGCAGCGGGAGGCCCCATTAGCTAAAGTGGTACATCAGGTTAAGAACAGTTTCAGGTTAAGAACGGACCTCCAGTACAAATTAAGTTCTTAACCCGAGGTACCACTGTAATGCGTAAATGTGGACAAGCCCTCAGTGTCTTAGCTACGATCAGTAAACTTTTTCCTTCTTGTCCCAAGGCCCTCTGGAAAGTTTTATAGGCTGACCTTAAATTTCTCTGATGTAAGCTGCCCTTTCCCTCTCTGCAGCCAAAACACTCATAATAAAAATTCCATGACATAACACCACTCACCCAGCAGTTTTTATCCTATTACAATGGAAGGGCAGCATTTTATTTTTTATTTCGTATATGATGGTGGTTAGCTTATAAATTCTGCATGTACTTTTGCTTGCATTACATGGTCTTAGATAGAAAGATTCCTCAGCTCAGCTTGAAGCTATGACTTCAGTCTGAATGTAGACTCTTGCATTCCTTCTAAAAAAAACAAACCTAACTTCCACTCAGGAATTGAAGCAAAGGGAAAATTAAACCCTTTACAGGCATATAGTGCAAAATGAGAAAGTGCCTCTTGCAGCTAAGTAGAAATGAAAGTTTGTGTCTAGTAAAATAACCAGCTCTTTGAATAATATGTTAATTCCATGCATAGTTTTATGGGCTAGCTCTTTCTATGGCACTTGGCAACAGTCCTGGAAAAGGCGCAGTCTCAGCAAGCCCCAGGAGGATCTGTATGAAGATTTGAGCTTATTGAGTTCAGCAGTTCTTTCCTAACCCATTCCATCGCAGATCTGTAAACATGGGCCAGTTCTACAACAAAGAAGTGCAAAACAACAATCCTCCTGGCATGATCTATTTCTCAGAACACATTGACTAAGGCGGCAGTCCTGTACACTACAGGTGGGCATCTGCAGCCCTGGGTCTAATTGTCAAAAGCCACCTGCAGGCAGGCAGGCAGGTCAGATTTCCTGCAACAGCAACCAGTCCATTCCCTTGTAGGCTGCTGGGTAGCAAGCAAAAATGGATAACAGAAAGAGAGACTGAAAAGGGGATAACCTCACTCATTTTGGGCTCTGACTTTGGCCCCCACAAGGCCATCATGTAGATTACCCTCAAGGGAATGCAGCCCTCAACAGTAAAAATTCGCCCATCCCTGCTGTACGTGCTTAAAGGTAAAGGTAAAGGGACCCCTGACCATGAGGTCCAGTCATAACCGACTCTGGGGTTGCGGCGCTCATCTTGCTTTATTGGCTGAGGGAGCCGGTGTACAGCTTCCGGGTCATGTGGCCAGCATGACTAAGCTGCTTCTGGCGAACCAGAGCAGCACATGGAAACGCTGTTCACCTTCCCGCCAGAGCGGTACCTACTTATCTACTTGCACTTTGATGTGCTTTTGAACTGCTAGGTTGGCAGGAGCAGGGACTGAGCAACGGGAGCTCACCCCGTCGCAGGGATTCGAACTGCCAACCTTCTGATCAGCAAGTCCTAGGCTCTGTGGTTTAACCCACAGCGCCACCCGCGTCCCTTCTGTACATGCTTACCTGGGAGTAATTCTCTCGGCACTCAATAAGCCCTGCATTGTAATGAGAGTCATTGCTTTCTCCTGTTTCAGCTTACTGGCTTATTTGGTTGCTACCAGAGGATGCCATGATGAATCTGTCTTGCATACGCTTCCTCCCTTCTCTCTTATGTATGAGATAAGGAAATAGGAACATTCGGTTGATGGTTTGTAACAAACTGCCTGTTTCATCTGAATGTTGGAAACTGGTTTGTACAAACCATAGTCACCCAAATAGGATACTGGTTAACTAAATATGGCTCATACAAAGAGAACCATATTTGGACAAAGTGGTAAATTGCACTGTGCTACCACAAATGGAAGCTTCTGTTTTCTTCCCCTTGCATACAAAGGAGGAAACAGCACGAACTGTTTGCCACTGCTTATTCTCCGAACAACAAACCATGTCTTGTATGTTTGAAGTAAAACAGAAAAAGTATGTAATTCCTAATAAGGTGACCATGTAAGTTGAGTAATTAGAAATACCTGCATTCATAAATGACGCAATTGTCTGTGTTTCAGGAAAAAACATGGCAGTTCTTCTTGTGGATGCTCCTACTCCAGTGAAACTTGTCCCCAAAAATAAAGGAGGGGGAAGATAACTTTTGCTTTTCTGGGAACCAACTGGCAACAGTTTTTATACCAAACCTGAAGTGGAGCATCTTAGATGAGGTGATAAAAGCGGTGGATCTGCAACTTTGGCTGATGATCAAACTTGGCCTAAACCCTTGCTCTTGCATTTGTGTACTTGCGGTGATTGCTTGGAAAGGACAGCATTTGTGTGAGGAAACAGGTTCTCAGCATGCAAATTAGCTGTTTTGCTTGCAGAAGTCCTTGGTTTCCCCCCCTCCTGGATGCTGCGTGGGGTGAATAGCTTTGCTTCATTTTGTATTCACAGTGAGCCATTGCTTCCTGATCTAGCACAACCTTGACTGTCTTTCCAAGTCGCACACTAATGTTGGAAGGCAATACTTTTTGCTGTTACAATGGTCCGATTCTGTTCAGGAGAGAGCTTGTCCTATTTGGGGAAGCCAGGAAACCACCCATCTTTCTGCTTTATACAAATCAGCTGCTACGGGTGAATTATGCTGCATCTGTAATTAATAGGGCCAATATTGTTACTTGTCTGGAGAAATCCCAGACTGGCTTCTCTACACTAGCTTACCAGAAGGTCAGAACTAGTATACAGTTGACGTGGAGTTCCCTGGCTACATCTGACCATTTTCTCATAGCACAAAAGGTGTTGTGTACCCACATTAGTCTATTTTCCACCTGGTTCCTGAGCAGAGGAGTTGTTTTGTTTTTGTTTTTGTTACTGTACAATTACTTGGAGAACTGGTTGCTGATTGAAGAAACTTTCTTTTGCATGGACTGAATGGAAGCAAAGAGAAGGCTCCTTGCAATATGACCTAAATGTCACTGCACTATAAAATCTAATTTGCCTACCCTGCTTTGATATGTAAACTGCAGTCAGCATTTGCAAAGCACTTGTTACAACTGATCATTGGAAGTATTGGTCTGTTTTATCTTTTTAAAAAGTCTTCAATCTGTGATGAGGGTCATTATTTATCCGTTGCTTCCCTGAAGTCCTGGAGCATCTCAGTGACTTTGGTGTTATTTGCAGGCTTAGATATTGTAGGAGGACAAAGGATTATCAGATGCAAGAGTTGGCACGAGTAAAGGCAATTGCTTCCAAACTCAAATAAGTCTTGGATTTTTAAATTTAGCACCAGATCTAGCATTAACATAATGTTTATATAGTTTACGAAAAAAAGCACCATAATTGATTTGAAAACTGCAGGTGAACACATATAGCATGTTCCACATTGCATTTAACAGTGAAGTGAACAACAAATGCATAGACTGAATTGTAGGAAATTGTTTGGAGAACAACTAGTTTAAAAAGCGGGATGTGTGGGCGTGAACTCAGTGTCACACTGAATTCCTCTCTGTTGTGCTGTACAGAGGATGGTGAAATATACTAGCCAACCTTTTTCATTTCATAAAATGTATACTGTATACCACTTGATTATGAGGAAAAACCCTCCAAGTGGTTTTGGAGTGTACATGTGTTTTGTTTATACAAGTTTTTGATTTCCCCAGGTTTCAAATTCTCATAAAAATTAAAATGCAGACTTGCTTTTTGACATGGAAGGTTAGAGGGCTCACCACTTGGGAAGCTAAGCAAGAACTTCATTGTCTTATCTGAAACAAGGACAGAATACCAACAGGAAACGTCTGAGTCTACCCAGATACAATTAAATCCTGGGCCAACTAGTGATTAAACTATAAAATGATGCTATCAGCACCCTTTTCATACTGTGATCTTCCATTTTTCAAAACATCCAATCTAATACCATTCTAATTCCATTCTGCTTACTGTTAGTGTACTAATAAAAACAAAGCCTTACTTTGTTTGGCTTTTGAGTTCGCTTTATATTTGAATCACCAGGGCCAAAGATACAGTATAGCTACTTATATATTGCTATCAAGCATTGCTTTGTTTTCTCAAAGAGTTACAATAGCATTTTCCCATAATCCGTTAAGACTGCAAAAGTCGCGGTGCACTAGCAGCATATTATAATGAAACCCACAGAGTCAAAGAGCCTGTGGAGCGACCCAACAGCTTCATCCTATGGATCTGTGCAAGCTGTGGCTTGCTCTGTTGAAACTAAGGTGCAAACTTGTGTGTGGGATGTGGAGCAGTGCCTGCTTTCCTTTAGGAAATTGGCTGTTACAAAAATACCCCTAAAGGGCCTGAACAATGTCACTACATTAGGAGAAAGTATGCCACACATGACCTTAATCTTGCATTCTGGCAGCTGGATCAGAGTAAAAACAAATTAATTTCTTTCACATAATCACTGCATGCTTTTACCTCTACCGTTTGCAGAGGGAGTGAAGAGTAGTTCTGGAAAATAATGTAGTTATCAGTGCAGTTTAGCATTTGCTACGCTGCAAGAAAAATAATGTTATTTCATATCATAGATGAGTTTTGAGCCCAATGAGGTAAGATAATATGCCAGCTGGCCTAAGATACATTGAAAGGATACTATAATGGGGGTTTGTAGACAGTGGGTTTTTTGAAGGCTAGACAGTCATTTTAAGCATACACATTAGACTTAGACACGGGTTTAGAGCTTTGCTAAAGAGTTTATGCCGCTCCACAGTGTTTCCCTGGAAAAGGCTGGCGTGGGTTTTTGAGGGTTAGATGCTGGTTAACTATCTCTGTTTCTGAATACCAAATGCTGATGACCATAAGCAGGTGGCCTGGTTTGCCCTGCATGGTCTTCCTGGGCCTTCTAGGGCAGAGGTGAGACACAATTTCAATTTCATCTCAAAAAAGCAGCTTCAGATCTATTGCGACTGAGTGTATGTGTATACTGCTGGACTGGCTGAAGTTGCTATTTAGTTTTGAATATTGTGACAGAAACCATAAATATTCCTGGATTAGTGAATTTTGGTTCTGGTTTTTAATGCCCTCATCTCCTGTTGAAACCAAAGTGAAGGATATGGTTTCTCTTGGTCTGATGAAGTTTAGATCATAAGCCCTTTCTGGGCAGAGACCTGTGTTCTTGCTTACGTTGCTCTTTAAAGTTCCATGCACACCAAATATGCTGTATAAATCCTTGGCATTCTCATCGTACTTTGGTTTTGCCAATCTCTGCTTGGAGGGAACACGCATTTCATGGCTCCCAGAGAGCTCTCTCTTTCTGTGCCTCCCATTAAGCAGACATTTGTACTCTCTGTGAAAGGAAAATACCGTATTTTTTGCTCTATAAGATTCACTTTTCCCCTCCTAAAAAGTAAAGGGAAATGTGTGTGCGTCTTATGGAGCGAATGCAGGCTGCGCAGCTATCCCAGAAGCCAGAACAGCAAGAGGGATTGCTGCTTTCACTGCGCAGCGATCCCTCTTGCTGTTCTGGCTTCTGAGATTCATAATTTTTTTTTCTTGTTTTCCTCCTCCAAAAACTAGGTGTGTCTTGTGGTCTGGTGCGTCTTATAGAGCGAAAAATACGGTATGTCTCAGGTCACCTCACCTTTCTAACTTATCTACTTCACCACCAGAAAGAAGCTCTGCATTGTTCCAGGGCATTTCCATGCAACCATTCACTTTTAACATTGTTCCTCTAGGTCTGGGCCTTTTGAAACTCATCCTTTGCCAGGGATTGCTTGAGCTTCTTCAGCTCCACTTTGTACTATAAACCAACAATTATGGCATGACTAAATCCTCTCCTTTGATTCCGTATTTGGGAACAACCCTGCAGGGAACAACCCTATCAAAGTGGTGGATTATTAAGCAAAGTAATTGCTGAAGGATGTGGCTTTTCCTGTAGGTAAACACCACTCCCTATTAGATAGCACACTGCATTACAGTATTGACTTTTGCATTCCTTTACCAGAGTCTGGCTCTTATTTTGTAAATACATGCATAGTACTTACTATATGAGTAACTATTCATAATCTTTCAGTGGCTTGTTGGGTATGAGAATGGAGGAGATTTAGGATGAGGGGTCAGGGGGAGAGCTATTGAGCTGTGGCTCTCCAAAGGTTTGAAGAGCAAGTTGAAAACTCTCCTGTTCCTGCCTACATGTTCTTTCTTATACCGAACTATAGGTCTTGATATATTTTAACACTGTATTTCAAGTTAGAATCGCCCAGCACTTTACAGGCATCAGTGAATCAAAACATTTGATCCACTCTGTGAAGTCGGCAGCATTATCTGTATGTTTTTACGTTGTAGTAGCTGCGGTACTGCATTGGTATATGACTTGCCCAAGCATTGGCATTTCATAGAATCATAGAATTGTGGAGTTGGAAGGGGACCATGAGTGTCATCTAGTTTAACCCCCTGCAATGCAGGAGTCTTTTTCCCAATGTGGGGCTCGTACACATGACTCTGAGATTAGGATGCTTTACCGACTGAGACTGTAGTGGTACCTTGGGTTACAAACACCTCAGGTTACAAACACTTTTGGTTACAGACTAACCCGGAAGTAGTACCTCGGGTTAAGAACATTGCCCCAGGGTCAGAACAGAAATTGTGCGGCGGCAGCAGCGGCAGCAGCAGCAGCAGCAGGAGGCCCCATTAGCTAAAGTGGTACCTCAGGTTAAGAACAGACCTTCTGAACGAATTAAGTTTGTAACCCGAGGTACCACTGTATAAGAGTGTATCACCCACAGCCAGGACCTCCATATTACTTTTTTATGCATATATGTATGTGTGTATGTATAGAAAACCACTCACAGAACATCCAACTACTTGCAAAGCCCACAACCAGGGTCCCTACAGTACGGTTAAAAAGCTGTCTTGCATACAGTTCTTACTCACCAATTTCTATTTTATATGCCTGCCACCTATAATACTGTCATGCATTATGTGGTGCAATGAAATACAACTTCCTTTCTAGAACTAGCCACTGACAGGCTTGGAAAGGCATTGTTAAGGATACCTTTGTCCTTGTGATTTGTGGGGATATATACTTGGGTTAGTTGCAGTGATGAGTAAGCTGTGACATTTATCTCCACATTATTGGGAGTTTGATTTGGTTTGTTTACTCAAGCACATATTGATTCATTGTAATGTGTACAGCAGAGTTGGCTTTCTGGGTGGGTTAATGTTGGAGATGCATAAAGTAGGACCTCTGTCTGACACGTCTACCATCAGCTAACATAATAAGGGTGACTCCCTAGTCAGGTAACCAGTATCCTAGGAAAAGGTCTTCATTTATTGTTTGTGCATGCATTTTGTGTAGTGTGGTAATCCTATGATTAACAACTAATGACGTATGGCCCAGACCTAGCCTGCAGATGACGGTTTCACTTGGTAACCAGGAACCTCCCTTGCTGCTTCATAGTTGGCCCTGCAGCTACAATGAAGACTGCTCATTGTATGTGGGCATATGGCAAAATAATGCAAAGCATTCTTACTGTTAACCAGAGAGAAAAGACACCTGCCTAGATGAAGAATAAAGTGGCCGCTTCTGCCATGCAAAGTCTGTTAGATCTTGTTTGACAAACCTCAAAGCTAATGCCTGTCTGAAGGAGCTCCATAATTACTAGTTTTATATATTATTACTATTTATTTAAAAGTTCAATGGGCCAATGTTCATAAAGTACACAACCTGCTGTATACATAAGCAACACTAAAACATTACACCAGGCACATAAAAAATAAATACATACAAACACAGACTACTGAAAACAGCAGGGCAGACTGCACACTCATTCAGGTAAAAACAGTGACAATACCTCAATGAATTAGCTTTGACTTGGCACTCAAATGATAACAGTGGGAGGAATTCAGGGGTGCGCTTTGTTGAATGTTATGTCAGTGCAAGCATTTCATCTGGTCAGGTGGAGCAGTTGCCCCATCCGCCACCTGCCTGCTATTCTGGGAGCTCTCCTGACACCCCCTGAGCCAACTTGTCTTGGGGGGGGGGGCACATGGGGAGGAGAGGGAGGGGATATGGTGATGACCAGTAGCTGCGATCGCTTCAGGAAAAAGGCTTTGACAGATTAATAGAGGGCCATCTATGACAGGGTCTTAGCCACAGCAACAGACCGTCTCATGTTTAGAGGAATATGCTGCAAGGCATATGTTGGGGAGGCTCCCTGTCCGGCCACTGTGGGGAAGCAGGATATTGCACTAGCTAATATCTCCCTAGGATGCCATGGTGTCACTGGGGCTCCCTACGCCACTGGTGGTATGTCCTTGAGTGCACTGAGTGAAGTCCTCATTGCAGCTAGGGGAGCCATTGACTACAAATTTTAAGGTTCCTTTATATCCTTTTATTAATGGAGGTGGAAGGGGGCCCCTTAAGATGAGCAATTCTATTGTCTTTTCCTTGGAGTTCCTGCCCAGCTTCACCTCGCCCATCTTGCCTATTATTTGTCTGAAAGAAAATCTCCCTAGTGATTAATGGCTAAACTGGTCATCCTTTGTTTGCTCCCTGCCTTCCAGTTATCCTATCATTATCTTGATGGCCTCCATTTAGGAGTTTGAGTAGACTTTACTGGCAACTTGGTTTACATGTACTGACCTTTACAAGGTGCAAGGTACCTGAATCCCCTCCAGGAGATGATGCCGGAATCAAACTTGCACCAAGGTCACCAGAGTTCATCATGGAGGGTCTCCTGTCATATTAGAGTTATGTCAGTTTTCTTACCTATGGCATGATGTAAAGTAATAAACCACAGAATAAGTTAAGATTGACACACACACTTATTCACATAGACATGTGGCAGGATAATCCTTCCTCTGCTGGAAGGAGGCCAGGCTAGAGCAATGAAGTTTGAAGTGTGCAGAGATCACTATTCAGACCCCTAACTGAGTCAGGAATTTATTCTTCCAAAGTGCGCTATCATTTCTCACACTGCATACATTTAGGGAAATGCGCTTAAGTTGGATATTTTGCACATGTTGGTTACCCAAAACACCAAGTCTGGCTTTTACCATCCTGAACAATGTGGTGTCATCTGTAAACTTTGCTGTCTCATTGTTGACACTTGACATATGAAGAAATTAAATAGCCCTAATTCACTGCAGATTCTTCAGGAACCTCACAGTTTCTTCTCATGAAAACTTTCAGTTTATTCTTATCCTTTGTTCGTAGAAATCTGATCATCAGAAAGTCACAATGCTGGTAATGTTATAACTGCTGTTGAGTTTATAACATGGACGTAGCCAGGGCTTTTGTTGGGGGGCAGGACTTTTTTGGGGGGGCAGAACTGACGTGATTGGTCAGTTAAGTATTCCTATTTTACTTGATCTGGGAAGGGGCAACTGCCTTTTCCTGTGCCCCCTCCCCCCGGCTATGCCCATGGTTAATATGCCATAATCTGCATACTTTACCCAAATATGCTAGTAGACTTAATATAGAAATAAGTTAAGGAAATTTAATAAACAACCCAGTAATTTTCTAGACTCCTTACTTAGTGGAAGTTAACATGTGTTGAGAATAATGTTAATTTGCCATGTCCAGTGTGTAATGTTATCTGCACAGCGGTCTGCAAGGTAGTCGAAAGAGCCAGGTCCCCCCCCCATTTCAAACTTACTTGCTCTAACCCAGTGGTTCCCAATTAGTTAAGTCCTGCAGACCCCCTATTCTCAAAACCCAAGCCATGGACCCCTAATTTTGAAAATTTTGATATCTCTATGGTAGTTTTTGTTATGTGAATCATTCACGTACCCCCTCAGTGTCCACAGACCACCAGTTGAGAACCACTGCTCTGACCGGACCCTCCTTTCAATCTGACTGCAGCAGGGAAAGGTTGTTCGGTGACATTACTGCATTGAATTGGAGCATTCAATCATTCCTTATGCAGGCAACCAAATTAACAAAATTATCTGCCCTCAGAGTAGGCTGCTTGCCAAGAACAGTAATTCACACAGGGACAAAATTATATATCGGTTACAGTTCTAACGAGAAGTTGTTTGCTGCTTTCACTTTTTTTGGCCAACTGTGATTAGATTTAGCATATTAAAGAAACATTGAAAACAGAGAAAGGGTTGAACTGGATTGGGACAACATCAGAAGGCTAATAGAGCAGCAGTGGGGGAAGGAGAGGGAATGGAGTTTAGACTGGGAAAATAGGTCTACTCTGAGTACAACTTAATTGAATACCACTCATTGATCTTTAGCATCATGGTACTGTTTGGTTCTTAACAGTGTTAAAGCTGTTTGTTTTCAATTGACATTTTCAAGTACAGCAAGGGCTGTATAACAGCCATGATAAGAGAGAAAGAACAAGCAAGATTATACTGCAAACAACTGAACAAGGATCTTGCAGTCCAATACCATTAATTGCACAAGTAGGCCTAAGCTTAACATACATTGCAAGGATTACTGCGACTCATCGTTTCTCCAGAAGGAATCAACTGAAGGCAAACTTGGGCACTGGGTGTGGTGCTATGTGAAGATGAGAAATGTCAAAGGGCCCTCACTTTTTGAATTTCCTCCGCTTTTTTCTTTGTCTAACCAGCTCTTTGTTGTGACATGGAAAGAACAGTGATATTCTTGACAATGTTTTTGTGATGTTAAATGATTTGCAAAGTACTTTTGACAGATTCCTCAGCTGAATAAATGAATACTCATTTACCTGTTAAGTTAAAGTGGAGAGCAGGCACAGTTACCCATTCTGCCTGCTTTATTAAATATCCCTACTCTTTAGAGAGAGATTCACTGTACATTTTTCATCACCATGGGGCAAAATAGGTCCAGCTTTGTGTGCACTTTGCAACACCTTGTTCTGCACCCCTACATCGTTGACAAAAAACCCCGAAATGAAATGTGCAGTGCTTGCCCTTCACCCACTTCCATGAATATCTCAATAGGGCGCATGCTTCTGTCTGTTAGCACCCTGGGGTGATTCTGGTTTCTGCACTCAAGATGTAGCTAAAGGTCACAGCTGCTCTTCACTGAACCTTCAGCAGGTGTATCCTTTCTGGGGTTCTCGTTTCCTGTTTGTATCTCAGGACTGGCTGAGTTAGGCCTGCAGAGAGATGAGAAAGTATTCATTGAAATAAAAGAAAAGTGGCAAGATGCAAACCTCATTGCTCCAGATTTTATTCTTTACACCATGACTTGCAGTTTGTTCTAGTTACAGGTAGGTAGCCGTGTTGGTCTGCCATAGTCCAAACAAAATAAAAAAAATCCTTCCAGTAGCACGTTAGAGACCAACTAAGTTTGCTATTGGTATGAGCTTTCGTGTGCATGTACACGAAAGCTCATACCAATAACAAACTTAGTTGGTCTCTAACGTGCTACTGGAAGGATTTTTTTTATTTTGCAGTATGTTGTTGAGCATGATGGCATCATGCATAACTAAACTTTATTTGCAGAGCACACACAATGACTATGAGAAGGGAGTTTCAGCAGAAGAAGCCAATATAGCAATCAAGAACCCCTGCAAACGTCATAGTTCAGATCCCACCATTTGAACTGATTGCCGCTGCTCCTTTGCATTGCCTCACTAGAACAAATTTTGGCCTGTGCTGCTAGCAATGCAACAATTGGCTTTCTAAGTGGAGCAAACTAATCCCCGACAAATGTTTGCCTCTCTGTCTTTGCTTCCACTCTCAGATGAGCACGGAGTAGAAATCAAAGAGGTCTGTGTGTTTATATCCCACCCTTTTTTCAAGGATCATAGAATGATAGAATCTCCGAGTCCAACTCCCTGCAATGCAGGAATCTTAAGTAAAGCATCCATGACAGATGGCTATCCAACCTCTGCTTAAAAACCTCCAAGGAAGAAGAGTCCACCACCTCTCATGGGAGTCCGTTCCACTGCTAAACAGCTCTTACTGTCAGAAAGTTTTTTCAAATGTTTAGTCAGAATCTCCTTTCTTGTAACTTGAAGCTATTGGTTTGAGTTCTACCCTCCAGAGCAGGAGAAAACAAACATGTTCTCTCTTCCATGTGACAGCTGTTAAGATATTTGAAGATGGCTATCATATCTCCTCTCAGTCTCCTTTTTTCCAGGCTAAACATACCCAGCTCCTTCAAGCGCTCTTCCTAAGGTTTAGTTTCCATACCCTTGATCATCTTGGTTGTCCTCCTCTGAACATGTTCCAGCTTGTCAACATCCTTCTTAAATTGTTCAGATAGACACCCAGACAACCATGTCCTCGTTCATTTGATGTGCATCCTTAACATAAGCCAATATAGATGGCAGGTGGGTGGATAATAGCAGGCACAGAAGCTCAAAAGAATTTTTAACATGTGTTATGGTTTCAGTTCCATAGAACAGCTACATACCTTCCATATTTTTATTTTCCTAAGCACCACAGCTTGATCGTTCTTGCTTTATTAGCAGGCCTCAGCTACCCAAATAGGTCCTTAGCAAGCTTGTTTTGCTGATAACTGTTGCCTTGGGCTCCTCTAGGAGGAAGGGCTGGATATAAACTTAATAAACAATTTAATAAATAAATATTTAACTTGCTGGCCTATTATTTTCATGGTCCTTCCTAGTGGATTTTGGAGTGTCCTGTTACCTTACTTGGAGTGAGGGGCATTAACATTTTCTCTACTAGCAATGTTCTTTTCACTCTCCCAGCAATAAGGAGGGAGTTGGTTACCATCAGTAGCATCAGTCCTGAAGTGTCTGGTATAGACCAGTGTCAAGTGGTCTGATGGAAGGGCCATGCTCTAATTTTGCCTCAGGAACTCTGCTCACGGTCTTAATCTCAGCAAGTATGTGCGATTGTTCTCCTGTCACGGCTTGCCCTGAAAGCCTTCCTACTTCTATCATATCTCACCCGGATAAATCTTTTTGACAAGCCTATAATTAATGCCTGATCTACATAAGAAGAATGTTTACCAGTGGTTCCTGAATGAGATAGGCTAAAACCGAGGAATCTTTTCTCCGCTGTAAACTGCTTCTGCCACCTTGGAACCAGAAATACCTGTTTTGCATAGACTGAGTCTCAGACCAAAATGTGTGTCTGATTTGTGCATGTAGATGATTTATGGACTTCAAGAACAGCTGCTCACATATTTCCAATCAGAGGCACTCCTAGCTTAAGAGAAGCAGCGAGGGCCGAATCTCTTTTGGCTTTGCTAGCTGCTTCTTTCTTCGCTCTTCCCCCAATCAGCAGTCTTCATGTGACAAAGTGTTGTAGGTTCACAGATCTCTGTTAGAGTCAGCAGCATAGAGATGCCTCCCAATTTAAGCCAGGGAGAAGCCCACATATGGTCTATGTCAGGGGTAGCCAGGGTGGGTGTCCTTTAGATAATGTTGGCTCTCAGCTCCAGCCAGCATGGCCAGTGTTCAGAAATGATGGGAGTCATAATCCAGCAACATCAGGAAACATCAGAAAAAACTTCTGTCCTGGATGCTTTAGCTTGGTGGTGATGGTAGGAATGATGTCATATTTGGACTGCATTTCCTTCCAGAGCCACCTTCACTCAATCATGACATCCCATTTTTAAAGCCCCCTTGCCACTAATTGTGTCCTATTCTTTAATATAGTGGTTGGGAGTTGGTTATACAGGGCTTGGTTCATTCTTCCACTTTGCACAGGGGTGAAAATGGAAAATTGTCTGTTTGAATGTAGCTTTCCTTGTGGGTAGACAGGGTAGAGAGTTTTTGTTCTCAGAAACTGTTTGTAAATTCAATTTGGGATAGATTTTTATATGGTAGGAATGTGAGAATTACCCATTCTCATCTTTTTTCTGCATTAAAATGCTGCTTTTCACTTTGAGAAATCTCCTTATGGAACCATTAGAGGATAATTTCTGAAATTCTAGTCACGTGTTTTAAAAGCAACATTTTAATGGCGAGGTTGTCAGGGACTGTGTGTTCAAAAACAAAATGCTAATTCTGTGAAAAGGAAACTTGGATTATGTGCTTGGCATCTATCATGCATGTTAAGGAAATGCCCATATGTTTTCATAATCTGATTCCAAAACGAATCTGTTTGCAAGAATAGTGGTAGTATAGGACAAGGATTTGAAGACATAGGATGAGGATATATGAAGGTGTGGAAGGGAGGAGAGGAAATATGAAGCATGTGTCCAATACTCCCGTATAATGCAGGTGTGGAATGGCTTAAAAATCCAGACATTTGAGACTTCCCAGATGCAATTTCTGTCCCAACTTAGCACATCCCTCCCTTGTACTGTGAACATACAGGTGTCCAGAATGTATACAAACCTGAGCGGCAAATGAAGATAGATATTTAGTTTAGTGGTGCAGTGTTTTTCTCTGACCTGTGACTGTGTTCTTGTCTGCAAATGTAAAGCAGAGTTCCACACCTCTTGCTGCTGTCCATTATTGTCATAGTGGAAAAGACCCGGCTAATGCCACAGCCTCATATTTTTTGGTATTGAAAAGGTCTGGATTGTGTTGAATGCTGTAGTGCACCATTGGCTGAATTCCTATCACTCGCCAGTCAATAGTCACTGTTCAGCCTTCATCCCAACAGCGGTGAGCAATGACAGAGAAATATTTATTTGTTTGTGGTGGGGAGCTTTTTTCAAGCCCAGGGCTGCATTTCCTCAGAAGCAACCTCCGAGGGCGTGGGGCACGTGCCGCCGCCGCCGCCCAGGGTCAGAGGCAAAAATGGCCAGAGCAGCAGAAGCGACACTTTCCTTTGCATTCCATTTTTTTTTAATGTAATATTTATTGGTTTTACAAAAATTCCAAAACATACAAAAATACAGGATTTCAAAGACAAAAAACAACAATAACAGTGACAAAAGGAAAACAAAAATAACAGTAACCATAAAAAGGAAAAACAAAAGAGAAAAAGAAAAGAAACAGAAAAATTTAAAAGTTTATACTTTCATTTAACCTTCTTATCTTTCCTTGGTTCTTTGACTTCCCCGCACCTCCCCACTTGTATTTCCTTTTAAAAACTCCTTTCAGCAAATCCTTACCCTCCTTCCTTTATCTTAACTCAAGAAACTTAATCTATTTATATATAGATATTTTTACAACCTTATCAATCAAATATTCCATGCTCTTAAACGCGAGGTTTTTGCCAATACCAATTATTTTCAATCAGACCTCAATTTAACATTCATGCTTCCTTTGCATTCCAGCCATGCAAAGACCAGAGGTTTCTATGCACACACTGACACACCTCTCGGTCGAGTCAAGCAAGAGAGATTGCCTCACAGTTCAAGAACACACCCCAGCTGGGCAAAAGCACTTCAGGAGAGCATGGAGCTAGGCTGGTGAGGCATGTTGCGCCTTTAGGAAATTATCGAGAGTTAGATAGATAATGAGGCCTGCCTTTGACCTGAGCTTCCTCCACCCCTGGTTTACTCATGACTGCTCACTGGGTGTAAAACTTTGTTGAGGAAGGAATCCCACACATATTAGAACATGTCACAATAACATCTGGAGGACACAGCACTTCCCACCGAAGAGGAATTGGAGGAAGGGCAAGTAACACGACACAATGGGGATGTACTAGTAGACAAAGGCTGGTCTTAAAGGTTTTGTTGGGAAAACATCCTGGTATTGTTAAATTCATCCGTGCACTCCATGTGAGATGTGTGGCTGGACAATCGGCAGGGAGCGTAGACTTCATTGCAAGTGTGATTGAAATGGCACACATACTGTGAGAGCAATATTCAGGTCTACCTAAGTGGGCAGGAGGGATCCTTGAGCCTGTAAGCCAGAGCTTTTCAACCTTTTTGAGTCCACGGCTCCCTTGACCAACTATCTTCTTTCTGCAGCACCCCAGTGGGGCTCAGGAACCCATTTATGTCACCCCTTGCCTGCAGAGCTAGCAGCCCCTCACCACTTTTCAAACACCCTCCTTTGTGGAGTGTTCCCTCAGTCTCCTCTCTTCCCCCCTCTTTTTGGGAGTCCTTTAGGCAGCCGCTGCTGCTGCCCCCTGGTCTCTGAGCTGCCACGCACACAACCCCCGCCCCAAAGAGAGGTGCCTCCTCACATTGCCCCACAGGGGCCTGGGACTTGTCTGTCCATTCCCAACAGCAAGGACAGGTGAACTGGCTGGCTGGGCTCCCTCCCCCACTTGCTTGCTTACTCTGAGGCCACCTCAGCTTCTGGCAATCAGGACCCCCTGGCCAGAGGCACCACTCCCCTGAGGAGCTTGTAGGCAGGGCTGCTGCAACAAACAACTGTGCAAGCCTTGGGGAGGCAGAGATGTGAGAGGGCATCAGAGGAGGGAGGCAAGGAAAGAGGGACAGAGGCCAGTGTTGCCCGTGGCACCCCTGGCCATCATTCAAGGCACCCCAGGGTGCCATGGAACACAGGTTGAAAACTACTGCTGTAAGTAGTCACACAATTCATGCCTAGTTTGACCCTTAGATGTATGTGTACTGCAGCAACTAAGAGGCTTCCTATATCTTTCAGCCAAACTGAATGAATTGGGGTCTCTGAAGCCAAACATTATTTCTTTCTGTTTAGGTTTCTTAAAGGGACGCGGGTGGCGCTGTGGGTAAAACCTCAGCACCTAGGACTTGCCGATCGCATGGTCGGCGGTTCGAATCCCTGCGGAGGGGTGCGCTCCCGCCGTTCGGTCCCAGCGCCTGCCAACCTAGCAGTTCGAAAGCACCTCCGGGTGCAAGTAGATAAATAGGGACCGCTTACCAGCGGGAAGGTAAACGGCATTCCGTGTGCTGCGCTGGCTCACCAGATGCAGCTTGTCACGCTGGCCACGTGACCCGGAGGTGTCTGCGGACAGCACTGGCCCCCGGCCTATAGAGTGAGATGAGCGCACAACCCTAGAGTCTGGCAAGACTGGCCCGAACGGGCAGGGGTACCTTTACCTTTACCTTTACTAGGTTTCTTAAGGATAAATTAGCAGAAAGTTCGTGCCCATGGTTAAGAACCTGCATTTTCAGTGTCTGTGTTGTGGCACTGATGACTACATGAGGGCTGGGAGGAGAAAAGAGCAATAAACAGATAATGACATGATCACATTAGCTCTGCTGTAAAATGGTGGAACTCATCCAACAGCAAATTCCCCCTAGAGAGAAATATGGCTGCCCTCATGTACTTATCATGCTAGCCATTTTTTTTTAATTTTCTGTACAATGCCCTGGTAGCTTTACAAGGCCATTATATATGTACAATTCCCAAGGAAGGGACTGCACATTATGACATGCAATCACTTCCTGGGATCATTTCAAAACAGTTTTTTAGAAAACAAAAAACCGCAGTTATTAGCTGCTCTAAACAGAAAGAAGTGCCTTTTTGTTTGTTTGTAAAATGGGCCAGCTTTTTTGTTTTTTCCAGTATTTTCTTTAAAATAAAAATAAAAATCTTCCGATGAACGGGATGAAACTGAGCCAGTTTTCTGAAAGGGCTAAACCAGCATTAGATGGGAAAGGGTGGATCCATCTGTCCCTGCTGTGAAAATTCCTTGCAGTAGCTCAGCATCTGACATGCCTCTTCATTTCTGCCAGTACCTGTCTTGAGGCAAACAAAGCACACCCCTCTACTCATGTAGCATGACGAAGCCAAGGCTCACTCAAGCCAGCCACTCAGCGGCATAGTTCAAACACACTTTCCACTAATCGACAAGGTCCACTTGCAGTGATCGCACAGCATATTGCATGAAGGTTTTTTTAAAAAAAGAAAAGTAATGGAAAGTAATGGAGCCTGTGAGTTTCTACTCTTTCTTTGCAGCAAGTCAATGTCCACTTCGTTGCTAAGTAGCTGTAGTTACTCATCTGAACCTATACTGCTCCTCTTTCCAATGCCAATGGAGTTGTTCTTAATTTCTGCCGTGGCATCCGAAAGCTGTAAAAGTGTTAAGTACATCAGTGTTGTGTATCCTGTCATGACTTGGCACCTTTGGGCTTTGTCCCTTGTCCCAGGAGGACAAAGGGGGCTGGAACAGTTGGAAACCGTTCTCCTCCCTCCATCCCTTCTGTTTCCAGTGTGGAGACATGACTTCCAGCTCCCTCTCTTTCTGAGAGAGAGTTGCTGGAATATCGGGAGGGCTGGGGGCAGCAGTCTAGGATGGCGGATCAAGGGCTTATCCACACTTAGCTTTCTCCTCCGCTCTTTCCAGGCGCATTGTGATTTAATGCCCTGTGTCCAAGGCCTCTCTGTGTCTCTCTTTTGCCCTGGAGCTTTCCCTGTGAAAACCTGCTCTTTACAGTTGAAGCGCAACAATCAGCAATTCGGGTTAAATGCAGAGCTGCCTCTGAAGATGGTTTGGAAGCTTCAGCACTAACAGAAGTTAGTGGCCAGGTTGCTCACAAGGGCAATATGGTCTGAGCATATTACACTGATCCTGGCGCAACTGTACTGGCTGCCTGTTAGTTTCCGGGTCCAATTCAAAGTGCTCGTTTTGACCTATACAGTGGTACCTCGGGTTACATACACTTCAGGTTACGCTTCAGACTCCGCTAACCCAGAAATAGTGCTTCAGGTTAAGAACTTTGCTTCAGGATGAGAACAGAAATTGTGCTCAGGCGGCGCGGCAGCGGCGGGAGGCCGCATTAGCTAAAGTGGTGCTTCAGGTTAAGAACAGTTTCAGGTTAAATACAGACCTCCAGAATGAATTAAGTACTTAACCCGAGGTACCACTGTAAAGCCTTAAACAGCTCAGGACTGCAATACCTCAAGGACTGCTTCTCCTCATATGAACCAATTCGGACCCTGCACTCATCATCTGAGGCCCTTTATTGTGTGCCTCCCCTGTGAGAGGTCCAGAGGGTGGCAACATGGGAATGGGCCTTTTCTGTGGTGGCTCCCTGTTTGTGGAATGCTCTCCCCAAGGAGGTTTGCCTGGCCCCTTCATTGCATATCTTTAGGCACCAGGTGAAAATGCTTCTCTTCAACCAGGCCTTTGGCGAAATAACATTCTATGGCCTTTTAAATGTGCCTGTGGGAGGGGGAATTATTGGTTTGTTTTGCTTTTGTTTCTACTTTATTTGTTTTTTGTGTTTTCAGCTTGTATTTATGTTGTGAACCGCTGTGTGGTCTTTGGATGAGGGGTAGTATACAAATTTAATAAATCAATAAATAATGCAAACTTGTTGAATGGAGATGCCTAGCATGGTTATTTTCCATGCAATTGTTTTTGGCACATTCAGATCATTGCACACCTAGAACTGTACTGAGAGGTGGAGGAAAAGTCTGGCTGTAACCAGGTAATAGGATCTCTACCTTCAGAGCTTGTATCCAGTAAAGTAGCAGAAGACAATTGTCACCATCCTGACTTCCTTTGAACTTCCCAGAGGAATTTGGGTGGCCACTGTTGAAGTGCTTGATAAGATGGACCTGATCCAACAAACACAATTATATTCTAAAGTGCTCTCCTAAGACAACGTGAGACATTCTAGCCTGCAGAGATTTTGGTGTAATATATTGAGCCTTAGAATTATCAACTCAGCTCAAAGGACATATAAAAGTAAAAGAAATAATAGAGGAGGATGACTGGCAATTAATTCAGTCTATAAAGAAAAAGTCTTTCCCCCTTTTGTTTCTTGCTATCATAATAGCACTGTGTGGGCTTGTGTGGGCTTGTACCGTTGAGCATGAGAGCTCAGGGAAGGGGGAGAAAATTCCAACATCATTTTTGCTCCGAGCACCAGCAGAGATTTTCTTTGAGAAGGATCCAGGGGTCATGAAAATTAAACAGTGTAGGCAGGCTCGTCAGTAGGATTCCTCCCCCTCTCCTAATGGTAATTAATTAACCAAAAAAAAGCCAGCCTTTTGAAACTAGTCCATCAGCTATACAAACCACATTTCCTTACACATTTTAACCTATAATTGCATTTAAGTGAAATGTGTGATTAGTAGAACTGTGAGATCTTGGCAGGAAAACACGTGTCTTTCCCCCCCATCCCTCTGCACCCCCAAATATATTTAGTATTAGCTTGACCTTCTGGACGGGATTAAAGAGCTGTACGGTATGTTTTAGCTTGTGGAATGAGAAAGGGGCACGAGGAAGAAGAAAGCCCAGGACGGAAACAGGGTATAGCACTTGAAAGTGCTGTGATAGGAGTTTCATAGGCTTCTGCAGGGGGTGGAGTGGAAATACACTGCTTAGCAATGGAGCAATCCGTGCAGAAAACTTATATATTCCCCGATTCATGTTCCTATGGCAGCAGTCTTATTTGTGGAACAAAATGCTGCAGCCCTGGACTGAGACACTAGTCGTTTTCTTCCACCAAGACTCTTATCCTGTTCTTTAAGGTAGCTGGAGGATATGGTGCCATGTGTGAGTGAGAGAGAGAGAATCAGTGTGGAGTGCTCCTTATCTTAGTGAAATGTTTGTATAGTAATTGCTAGGCTTGCCAAATTGCTCCTCTGGCCCTTCCTGACTGCAAAACAATGCTTTTGTACATTAATTGTTCAGGGAACCTTGGAGTTGATCAGTTGGGGAGGGGAAAAGGGCTTTGGGAATCTTTTATAATAATAAAAAGTACTGTTAAACTAAACTGAAATCCCAGTTTCAGTTCTGGAGAGCAAGGTATTTTGTCTTTCCGTGCATATTTCTGCATGCGGTGGTATTAAAGGTCATTTTCTTCTGTTGATACGGCAGCTGTTCACTTTCCCCTTCAACCAACAGAAGTATGTCCAAAGATGTCACAACTAAAACAGAAAGGTGTTAGCAAGGTGAAACTGCGTGGCAGCGTTTTCTGGCTTTGTTAAAATGCTAGCGCAGGGAGGGGAGGTAGAAAAGGAATGTATTTATTTGAAATGTTATATCCCACTCTGAAGTATGAATGCTTTTTAGGTTGGCTAACAATAATAATAATAATAATAATTTATTCTTTATACCCCACCCATCTGGCTGGGTTTCCCCAGCCATTCTGGGCGGCTTCCAACAGAATATTAAACATTAAAAGCTTCCCTAAACAGGGCTGCCTTCAGATGTCTTCTAAAAGTCTGGTGGCTGTTTTTCTCTTTGACATCTGGTGGGAGGACATTCCACAGGGTGGGTGCCACTACCGAGAAGTGTCCAGGCAGAAGGATGGGGGTGGAGACGCTCCTTCAAGTTTACTGGACCGAGGCCGTTTTGGGCTTTAAAGGTCAGCACCAACACTTTGAATTGTGCTCGGAAACGTACTGGGAGCCAGTGTAGGTCTTCCAAGGGTGGGGCACCCAATAAAACTGATAAAAATTGAGCTAAAAATGGCAAGAGTCAGTAAAAGACTAGCAGATTAAAACCACATTCAGTTGGCATCTGAAAAGAACTGGGGAAGAAAAAAGAAGAAGAAGAAGAAGAAGAAGAAGAAGAAGAAGAAGAAGAAGAAGAAGAAATTTGCTTGGTGCCAACAGGACTGTAGTGTATATTGCATAAGTGAGGTGCCCCGGCCGAAATGGCACTCTCAGTTGCTGCAAGCCACCTCAAGGCTACCAGAGAGGGGCTTCTAACACTGGTTATGTGGCAGTGGGCAGTCATGCAGTCCCTAGTGTGTCCAGGTCTTTAAAGAGCTTTAAAGCACCACCTATACTTTGGAACTGGGAGCCAATGAAAGTGTTTCACAGCCATCTTAGGTTGAACCATCAACTGACAGTAACTCCATGTTGTTTGGATTGGGTCACCCGCCCCAAATCTCTCTTTACTTAAGAATAATGTTTAGTTAACACGAAGCTCAAATAACTGATTTGTCAAAATTTTTGGCAAATTTGGGGGGTGAGAGAGAGAGAGAGAGAGAGAGAGAGAAAGAATGCAGATACAGCTTTTTGACTTGGTTTTTAAAATAAGTTACCCAACTCCAGGATTAGGTAGCATGCTGTTGTGTTGGACCTGTGCATTTCTTTAAAAATCTGACCTTCTCACGGGGTGTTCCTCTCCTTGAGTTTGAGCATCACGAATTAGCCATGCCTGTGTTAGCCTTTGATCAACACTCTGTTCATTTAGGTGAGCCACTGAGACTGTCTTTAATGGCAATCCACTTTCATGTCACATCGGGTTGGCCTTGGAAGTCAGTAGGGAGCCATAAGTGCAAGCAGGAGACCTTGCATCTCCGTGCACAAATGCCTGATTATGTGGTTTGTGACGATACTAATGGTTTTTCCTTTCTTTGTTTCAGAAAAAAGCATGGCAGACGTTAAAAACAATTGTCAATTTGCCAGTCATCAGTCCCTTCAAGAAGCGATATTCCTGGGTGCAGCTGGCTGGTCACACAGGTGAAAACTTTTCTTGGCTTGACTCTGTACAAATAGGAAGCTTATAATAAAATGGTTGATAAAAATGGAAGGATTGAAAGGATTTTGAGGGCAGTATGCCCCCCTTCTTTACCTGGACACTGCAAACCAATCAGCCCTATATGCCTAGATTATCTCTGGCAAGAGAACTGCTTTTTCTATCTGATTGTCAATATGCTATGCACTCTGGACCTTTGGGGATGGGCAACAAGCACTTTCAAATAAGCAAATTGATGGGAAAAGGAAGCATATTAATTGACTAAGTCTGCATGTTTGTCTAGCAGACAGATTATGAGCTGTTTGTGGTTCTGGAGCCATTCCAGTGTGACCTCTAAGCTTGTAGAAATCTTGTTAAAATAATCACATTTGATATAAAACTGGGTTTTCTCCAGTTGTGCTGCCCAGCAGAATGGGTTGGATAGCCATTTGGGGGGGAGGGTTATCCCAGAAGTTCTTCCATGCCCCCCCAAATCTGCTCCAGAGCCTTGGGGAACCCTCTAAAGTAGATTTAGAGGGGCACAGAGACACTGTGGGGCAGGGGGAGGAGAGACGTTTTAAACAATTGTTTCCTTACCTGTTGTGCTGTGAGAAACCTTACTAGTATCTGCTTAGCAACATGGTTGGATATAGCCCAGTATCTTCTTAACTTCACTAATGGGAAGAAAAATGTATAATACACAGTGTCGGTTTTTCTGACAAGGACAATAACCAGAAGATTGGTAAGAAATGCTAGCACAGAGTTCCTAATAGATATGAACCTAGTCTGTTTTGTGATTTTAAAAAGAATAATCATGTCTTGACTGTGCAGCTTGGTAGTACTTGATTTGTGTTTTCACTTATGGCATGCAAGAAAAGATTTGTCCATGAGACAGTTGCTTTTTCTTTGTGAAATATCTGGAATAGATGTAAATCATTTGCATCCTTCAGGACTTAGCTGTGTGTGTGTGTGTGTGTGTGTGTGTGTGTGTGTGTGTGTGTCTGTCTGTCTGTCTGTCTGTGTCTGTCCATAGACCTATGTAGGCTTCTACATCTAAGTCTGTGGTCCAACCTTACACATGACAGTTTCTGGAGCCTAAACTCTCAAGAACAAACAAACACTGTCAAGGCCACTGCTGTAATGTGCTGAAAGTGTACGTCATAGAGAACGGAAAGGAAAGTTTGGCAGGGTGGCCAGTAAGGAGCTGCTTAAGCAGATTATGTTTAATGTAGTGTTTGTAGAAATGGCTGAAATATCTCGGGCCAAGCTTTTTCTTTATTTCTTTTTAAAAAATTGACTTGATGTAATTTACGCATGGTTGCTTTAGCGCTCCTATAGTAACTGACTGAGGTTAAAGGAAAACATAAGTCAACAAAGCTATGTGCAGAGTTCTCTGGAGCAGGAGGCATTTCCTTATATAAAAATGAATAGGATTAATTGATTACAGCTCATTTTGCACTGATTCCAAGAGAACCCTGTGAATTCTGATGCTGGCTAGAGAGAATTCTACAGTTGCGGGAGCTAACGTGAACCAGCTTACAATGCAGGAAGACAATGTAAGATTCAGGTTCAGCCTTGTTGGCTGCATTTTAGGGTATAAATTTGTTTCAGAAGGCATTGGATTAATAGATTTGTGGATTGATAGATATTTGAGTGAAACAAAAACAGATCCTGACATTACGCTCGCCTCGACAGTTGTGGAAGCTGCTTCCTCTGTACCTCTTGTCGCAGCCAGCATCATTTTGTTGGCTGTGTGGCTGAGACTAGATTCCTTTGGAGCCTCAGAGTAGTGAAATTTTGGAGCTGCAGGATTCCGAGGGGGCTGGAGGAAGAGCGTGTGTGTGCTTGAAGTGCACAACTTGGCTTCTGGACATGGCTTGTTGGTTAATGATCAGTGACTGATAGCTTCTCTCTTGTGTGCTAAGAGCAGGTACAGGATGAAGCTCAGTTCAGGACATAGTGGTAGCATTGCATAGATTTTATCACTGAATCTGGCTACCAAAGTAATAATGTGGTTTGCCCTGTTAACCTCCTGTGTAGTCTAGTGCATTTATGTTTATATGATTAATGGAGACAACTTTTTCTGTGATTCCATCTGAATGCTGGCTCTGTGTGTGTGTGTGTGTGTGTGTGTGTGTGTGTTTTGACAGGCACTGTTTGCGTTGGGTGTTCTTTTTACAAGGCATGTATGTTACTGTTCCAGGAAAGTATTTCAGCTGGAAGAAAGAGGTGCGGCAGTCAAACTAGGCGGAGAGACCTTTCCCTCCTACCAGACTGAAAGCTGCAAGTTATCATGATTCTGTTTACTGCAGGGAGTTTCAAGGCAGCTGACGGTGGAACGATCCTGAAGCGCTACTCTGAGAATGAGGAGAAGTGCTTTGAACTGCTGATGAATGACCCACTGCGCTCCTGCGTCCCTGTCTTCCATGGCGTGGTGGAGAGAGATGGCGAGTCCTACATGCAACTAGATGACCTTCTAGCTAATTTTGAAGGGCCTTGTGTGATGGACTGCAAGATGGGAATCAGGTGGGAGGCATTAAACAACAATAACTCTGCTGTCTCATTGTGGGCGGCTTGTTGATAGCTGTGATTTTGAGGGGATGGCAGTCTGATGTTGGGTTGACCCATCCCTCAACTTCATGTGGATTGTGAGCCCCTTCTGCCTTCTGATGAACGGATGGCACATCGGCCATATTTGAATGTCAACGTGAGCATTAAACAATGACTTACCACGCATGAGCAAAATCAAATTTGCTTGCGTCTGAAGGAAACAAACCATGGTTCCTGGCTTAGTGTTACATTTGAACTAGTAATAATACTTTGTTTTGCTGCTAACAAACTGTAGTCAGTAAGCGAATAACAACCCTTGGCTACAGATTGTGGTTTGTTTGTTTTTTTAAAAACCACACACATTTAGCTACACCAGTGCTGCTCCTTTCCCCTTGCCATGGATTGTGGCTTGGAGTTCAAAGTCCTGATATTGATTGGTCAGAGTTTTCTTGGAAATGTGATGCTATCTTGAAGAGGGTAATTATTTCTCTATGTAACGAACACTGAGCTCCCTATACGATAAATGGAAATGGCATGGAAATATTCTTGGGCGTATCAAATAAGTGCTCGATTTGCTATTATTTTTGCAGGACGTATTTGGAGGAGGAATTGACTAAAGCGCGAGAGAAACCAAAGCTGCGTAAGGACATGTATAAGAAAATGATCGATGTAGATCCTCTGGCACCCACTGAGGAGGAGAACTCACAGCATGCAGTGACCAAACCACGCTATATGCAGTGGAGAGAGACAATCAGCTCCAGCGCTAACTTGGGTTTCAGGATCGAAGGGATTAAGGTGGGACATCTTCCTTTCCTAAACTAGCTTTCCCTAGCCTCAGCATCCTAGACTGTATGTACACCAGAAAGTGCTGCACATGTGCTGCACAGATCCATTTTTTCCCTGTGTGCATGGGTCATCCACACACAAGCACTTCAGCTGAACTTTATATTGGAATTTCCCATTCACACTAATGGCTGGTGCTTGATGTAATGCACCTGAATACCAGTTGCTGGAAACCACAGGAGGAGAGAGTGGTTTTGTTCTCAAATCCTGCTTGTGGGTTTTCCATAGGCATCTGGTTGGCCACTGTGAGATCGGGATGATGTGTGTTTGTGTGGTACGCAAATAAAGTAACCTTTTGGAAAGAAGGCCATGCTTTGGTGTTAGTTGACAAATGTGGAGGATGCTGTCAGATTTTCTCCGTCAATGAGTGCAATCCTGGCATTGCAGAATGTGCTGTGCTTCTAGTGTACCATCTGGCAACAGACTGAAAGGATATTTTCGCTGCCCTCACAGGCCTGCTGTAGTACATCACTCCAGAGTGCTGCTGGATATCTCTGCCCACGATGTGCACTGCAGTTTCACAACTTTCTCTTGTCAAGACATATACATTTGTTGTGTTAGGCTGGCCCACACTTTTGCAGCCAAATATTACATGCACAAGGCCAAATCTGACTCAGATAGGTTTTGTATTACAACCCAGAGCAGATTTTTTTTCAGTTTTCTAGGGCTCTTTTGTATTGCATCCAGAAGCATGACTTAATAGCATAGCTTTTTTCAATTAAGTGTCAGTAGTCGTTCCTTTTATCCTGCCCACCTTGTTTATAATGTACACCATATCCTAAAATACATGTTTGTATTAGAGTCTCAGTGATACTTTATTTATTTATGTAATGTATTTAATACAGTTCTATCCTGTTTGCCACCTGAGGAGCTTATGGTTAGACTGAGAGTGACTAGCTCAGGTTACCTAATGAGCTTCATGGCTGAGTGGGGATTGGAACCTGGGTCTTTCCAGTCGTAATCTGGCACTGTGTATCAGGGATGTCAGACTTCAAGCTCAAGGGATCTACTTTATGCTTAACTAGAACCCTGAGATCCACTGACCTGAGCTAGCCATTTAGAATTAAATACAGTGGTACCTCGGGTTACATACGCTTCAGGTTACAGGCTCTGCTAACCCAGAAATAGTACCTCAGGTTAAGAACTTTGCTTCAGGATGAGAACAGAAATCGTGCTCCGGCGGCAGCGGGAGGCCCCATTAGCTTAAGTGGTGCTTCAGGTTAAGAACAGTTTCAGGTTAAGAACGGACCTCCGGAACGAATTAAGTACTTAACCCGAGGTAACACTGTAATTCAAAGGAATTTGATTTGAATACCAGAACTGAATGGAGTTCCTTCCTTCCACACAAAAATCCATTCCTGGTCACCCTAAGTTTTTCAGAGGAACAGCTTTCAGCTATATAACTTGGGATGAAGCGGGTTCATTTTATAGCTGCTGCTGTTGATACAATTGGTAGTCGGAAATCCTTGCCGTTCTACTGCAAATCACCCAAAAATCTACCTTCTGCCCTCCCCTGCTCTGCACCACACTGCTGTAAATTCAGCAGCTAATATTCAGGGTAGGGGTGACCATCCTGATGGAGTTAGTTCAGCTGCCTCTGAGGAAAAGCCAGCCAGCTTCAACTTTTGGGGATTCCTCTCCTCTTTGTCCCCATGCTGGTGTCTTCCCTTTCTTCTTTCCTCTGCGTGCAGAAGGACGTCTTCCATCTCCCTTCTTTTCATTCTTTATAGAAGGCTGATGGGACTTGTAACACCAACTTCAAGACAACGAAGACACGGGACCAAGTCTTCCAGGTTTTTGCGGAATTCATTAAGGGAGATACAACTATATTGGTAAGCTATACTTGGAAGTTTGAGACTGGCCCTTTGCTGGCCTGGCTCATTAAATCTGTGAGGGCTGGTGGCAGATGAATAGGGAGAGGGAGCTGTGGACATTTCCTTACAGGAGGCCAAGGTGTCATCACTTCCTCCAGAGCAACTGGTAATAAGACCCATTATTTTAAGAAGCTTTCTTTAATCTGGGTAAAAGGTTGACCCAATGCATCATCTTGGGTGGGGAGAGGTTGGATGTGTGATAGTAGACCAACTCCCAGTTTTCTTAGACATAGATCTGCTATCATTGATGCTGACTGCATCATCTCTCTCTCTCGTTTTAAAATTATTGTATTTTATAATTGCTGTATGTTATTTTGGAGGCTTATCTGGCTGAACAGTGGCTGATAAATATTAATATCACACTACAAGTAGTACTTTTCCTGTGGTTTTGTGGTATTCTAGTTGGTCATAGTTTAAGCATATGAAAGGAAGGTAACACATTGTATTCTGCATCCCTGCAGTGAGGCCCTTTGTATACCAAGAACACAGATCAGCTCTGAACATGGATATTTGATCCTCTTACCAGGGTTCCTATCAGGCACAAAATCCTTGTACTTTGTAGGCTTTAGACCTCTGACCTCATTAGCAGATGTGTGATGCTGTTTCTTTTCATTGACAGAGTAACATTGTTCAGATTGCATCATGGGTCGTGGGGAACTTAGTTTCATTTTTCCATTCTGCGTTTCCCACACTCTGAACAGATGAGCTGAAAGCCTTCAGAGAGAATATTACAGATGTTTAGCTGTCACTAATTGCCAGCTCTGGGACCCACACACTTGTGCAATGGGTGAATTGCAACTTAAAACACCAAAAGAACATAATGTGCCCAAAAAATTGGCTCACGAAACTCCCATTCTCAGAAGATTCGTGTTTATGTTTCTGGTGGGTAGTATCTCATATTACTCTGTGGTAAAGCAGTCTCTGAAGCAATTTCCTCCATCTACCAGGTTTTTAAAATTTTTGTATGACAGTAAAATGTTACGTGATTCAACCCTCCACCCCTTCTTTTCACAGAAAAAATACTTGAGGCGTCTGTATGAAATTCGTGGTGTTCTTGAATCTTCTAATTTCTTTAAACGGCATGAGGTGAGCAGTGGGTGAGAGAGAAGGCCAAGGAGGCAGCATGTGAAGAAAACAGTGTAGCATCAAGACTGGATTACTGCAATGCCTTCTGTCTCTGTGTGTATGGAGTGGGGGAAGCTGCCCTTGGGATTGGTTTGGAAGCTGTTGCAGAATGCAGGAACTAGGTTGCACAGAGAGGTAACCTACCATGAACACATAACACTCCCATGAAAGGAGCTGCACTAGTTTGCCACTTCAGCTACTGAGCTGAGTTTAAGGTTCTGCTGTTCGTTTAGAAGGCCCTAAGCAAATTGGGAGAGAATGAGAGAATGCCAACACCTCCTATAGAAACCTACCCACTCCCTGAGGTCATCAGATAATGCTCTTTGCAAGGGATCCATCATTTAGTCAACTAAAGGAGAGTTTTCCCCTCAGAAATAAGGCAGCCAACTAGATGGTGATGATGATCATTAGTATTCTTCTTTTATTTATATGCCGCCCATATGACTGGGCGGCTTCCACAAAATTACAAAACCACAGTAAAAAACCAACCATTAAAAACTTCCTTATACAGGGCTGCCTTCAGCTGTCTTCTGAAAGTCAGATAATTGTTTATTTCCTTGACATCCGAAGGGAGGGCGTTCCACAGGGCAGGCTCCACTACCGTGAAGGCCCTCTGCTTGGTTCCCTGTAACTTCGCTTCTTGCAATGAGGGAACTGCCAGAAGGCCCTCGGAGCTGGACTTCAATGTCTGGGCTGAATGATGGGGGGGTGGAGACTTTCAGTGGTCGCTTAAGATGTTTTCTGACCATTAAACAGGGTGGGGGCAGCCTGGTAACTATGGATGATGCACTATTTGGATTTTTAAATGTTCTGTCTTTTATTGTTTGTGGTATATTTTATTATCTGTGCACTGCTTTGAGGTATTTTAAATATAAACAGTATTAAAATGCTCCTGGTAAATAAATAAAAAACTTAAGAACATTAAAAGAGCCTACTGGATCAGGCCAGTGGATTCCTCAGTGAATTTGTTTAATCCTCAACTACAGGCATGCATTGGCCCTAAGTTTATGACGGGTGGAGTCAGGAGCAGCAAGACACCAGTTTTCCACAAAATATCTAGTAGCCTCTCTCTCCCTCTCCTCTGCAGGTAATTGGAAGTTCACTGCTGTTTGTGCATGATGATAGTGGGCATGCCAATGTATGGCTCATTGATTTTGGAAAGACTACCCTTCTTCCAGATGAGCAGACCTTGGATCATAGGATCCCTTGGCAGGAAGGGAACCGAGAGGATGGCTACTTACTTGGACTGGACAATTTGATCGACATCTTAGAAAATATATTTGAGAGATGAGAGGGACTGGCACAAAGTCACTATAGGACCGCTCAGTTGCTTTTAATTTTTCCAGAATCAACACACCCCCTCCCCAGTCAGAGGGAAAGCTTTTAAAATGTTTGCCAGACTCTGGGGGCATTACCCTGCTGCAAAAACGAGGTGGAAACTCAGAGCCAGCCTCTGGGAGCCTGGGAAATCCAGGGTTAGCCATGAATGCAAAGGGCTAACTTCAGTTTTATTGAACTAACACAGAATAATTTCTGAACATTTGGACGTTGGATCAGGACAACTACTTCCTGGAGGGAAAGTTGCTTGGAGCACATGGGACGGAAAATATTGGAATTCTCGTCTGAAATATCTTCAGAAGTAATAAGCAGACTTCCTAACCTTCATGCGGCTGCTGCTGCTGCTCACACTGTTAGATAGGAATGTTCCCATTCCATGCATTCACTTGTGTGCCAGGCAGCTTGGAACTTGGCGAAGAATTTACAAACTCTCATTCTCCTATATATATATTAGTTTTAATGGTGGTGCAGAAAAGTTTAAAGATGCGCACAAAGTGCTGTTGAAGCTTCAGAAACCAAAGGGCACCTTGGGCTCCAGGAGCCAGTGCAAGAGTTTTTGTGCCCTACACAACTCTCCATACCCCTCTGTTCCTTCTCGTCTTCTGCCATTCCATTTTGTCGCCAACTGATTTCCACAAATTAGTTTATCTGTGCCAAAACATGTGCAGCTTGCCACTAAGCCCCTCCCCCAAATATCTTGCACACATCTGCCCTGCAACCCTGACCACAACTGTGCAACAGGTAAGTCCTACTGATTTTTAATCAACCATCCAAAACTCATCATGGGCAGAACTGCAGTCTAATGCATGCTTTGATTGGAGCATGTGTACTATAGAGGAACCTGGATCAGCTCTACCTGTTAGAGGAGCTGCCATGGTAATAGGGAAGCAGAGGTTGAACCCATACAATTCCAATTTGCACCAAGCTTTGTATTAGTGCTTCTTCATGATTGCTAGCCTCTCCTTTTCTTCACCTGAGACTGTTCATAAAGCTGTCCAGGTTTTAAAGTGTGTGATCCAAGAGAGACTTTGCCTTCCAGGGAGCAAGCAGTCAATTTCAGGGCAACTGAATTTCATCGAGGGAGGCCCAGAAGTGACCACTCGTGAGCTGGAATGCATATGACTATGTGTAGGATCACATCTTAGTGACTTGGTTTATTTAGTAAACAAAGCAAAAACTTAACTAATTTAGGTGATATTGAAATGTTTCACATCCAGAAATCAGAACAACCAGTCAAGTTGCTTGGTGTTGAAATTACTTGGATCAGCAGATTTTTGCAAGAATTAAAAAAGAACAATTCTCCCTATAGAGATGTACTGGGCACTTGAAACATTAGGTGCTAAGCACTTCATTTGGGAAAAGCATATCCACTTGGTGTATGAGGTGAATGTGCAAAGGGTTATTTTAGGACTGCTGTGAAGGTGATAGTTTGCATAACAGGGAAATTCTGTGATAAAAACTCCTTTCCCCCATTGAAGTCACGTGGATTGCCCCCCGATAATCATGGACTGGTATTGCAGAATGCATCTCCACTGTTAAACATTCCAGCCACACAATTCCAATAATCATGCCATGCTTGGTTATGTATTCGCACGATTATTGGCTATGATCCAGAGCTCCATGCAGGCAGACATGGCATTCTTAAAGTTGTAGAGGAAAGCAGCCAGTGGCCATTGTGTGATGACTGGGTAGTCATGGCCCCATGGTCCTATCTCGTGCAGCCTGCCTTAGGCTAAATTGTGCAGAATTCACCCATGGCATGCTCCATAGCTAAAGGTATAAGGGATCCCTAGTCTGGCAGCATGGTCATGACTTAGCCAGACATGAAGCTAGCAGTCAGAGCAGCTAGTAGATATCTTCCAGCTTTTCAAATATTTACCCGTGAAGTTAATTTTTTAACAATACCCTTTGCTCACCCATTCTTAGTAGGTAACATATTTGGGCTTCCTTTCCTCTGCCACTTGGCTTGGTGTCAGTTTTGGCAGACTTTGGCATGAGGCTAATTTTAGGAGGAGCAACAGCAGGTCTTTCGCTCCCTACAGCCTAACCTGCACTGGCTGTGGAAGGGCCTGCTGAGGGCAGACAAATGGGTGGACAGTAAAACCTTAGGAGTTTGTAACACACAGCAGAAACGGGCTGCTTCAGCTATCGAGCTCCATGCTTCTGCCGAGAAAAGCTTATTAAAGCATTGCAAATTCTTGCCCAACAGGTGGTGGAGGGGAAACCCCACATTAACATTCATTATGGAATTCAGAACCAGCAACCCAAGACAGATGTACTGATGATACTCCGAAACAAGCTCCTTTGGCTTAAGCTTGTAATTAATTATCCCCAGGACAGTGTTTTAAATATAGGATTAGCTGGAAAGTCCATCTAGCAGAGCCAATAAAGGATTTAGTTGGGTGCACAGTTCTGAAAATCAAAATTGAAAATAGCAATTTGTAAAATAATACCAGTTATTGTTCTTTGAAATTTGTATTCTATCTTTAAGTCCTTTTGTGTTAATAATGGAAAATTACTCCTTTATATGTTGCTGGTGGTGATGGGGTGTGTGTGTTGGGAAGGAAGCATGGATAGCAGAAGTGGTTTTCAAATGGCTTCCATGATCTGCTAGCCTTTTAGAGTAGTGGGTTGAAAAGGGTTTCTGCGTAGCACAAGAGGTTCGAAGGGGAGGGGATTTAGAGGTAAGCTTGGATATTGTTGCTTGTCAGTTTTTACGTAGCCCTATTTGTGGGTCACGGTATAAAAACCAAGGTTTAAAATACTGGAAGTGCAACACAGCAAGGTGGAGACGTCCCAACAGGTTGCTACCCTACCCTGGGCCAGCAAACATTTATGATGATGCTCTCATGTAGATTTGGAGGCGTCTGGCCTTAGAATGCATATGGGCACTGTCTTTCTCAGTAATGTAAATACAGTCAATATCCAACATAGTCAAGGCAATATTTCACAGTGGCCTGGTGGATGTGAGGGAGGGAAGGTCCCATTGTGCATGCGGGCTTGACACTATTGGATATCTGACAGCCTCTCTCCACCCATCTTTGCCAACTCTATGGCTGATTGGACTTCAGTGGTTCTTCCCTTTACTCATTCTCACCCTCATAGTAACCGCCTGGTCCATACCAACCAACCAACCCAACCAGCCAGCTGCTGCTGCTTAGGCAACCGCACATACACAAAACAGGGTCACACTGGTTATTTTGTCTGCCCCATTGCCCACTCTTGGTAGCATTAAAATCTCCATCCTTTGCTCCAGCTGTTCTTGCAGCAGGAACACCGGGAAAGTTCCGTCTGTTGCAGCAGCAAATGCTTGCTTCAGTCTGCTGCAGATTGGGTGAAAACACAAGAGAGCTTGTGGACTCCAATTGCTTTTTCCTTATTTAAAAATGTGGTTGGTTTTAAGGAGGAGGAGGAAGAGGAGGAGGTGCTATAAAGTAGCACTTTGCGCTGGAGGATGTGAACTTTTTCTCCAGGTCTGCTGATCTGTTTTCTCCCACCTCTTTAAAATGCAGACTGGAATATGCCTACCTCACAGGGCTGTTGTGAGGATCCGTAAATTGTTTTAATACTGATTTGTGGAAGAAAAGTGCAATATAAAAAACTGCAAGGAATTTGAATAGGTATGGAAAGGACTGTTTCATAGTCCCTTGGAGGATATAAATTTGTGGAAACTTCAGTCGAGAAAAGGCAGGTATACCTTTTATATGCTGTGGGTGTTTCTGCAGGAAAGCTGCTTCTACAAGGAGGCTTAATATTGGCAAATGGGTTGTTTTCAATAGTTTTTTTTTTTGTTTAAATAAGTTACTGAATTTTCCATGGAAGGATGATAAATCCAGAAGGTGGTGGCGGCAGGAAGTAGGTTGGTATTTTTATGCCAAAATGCCGTGTGGAAGCTGGGAAAAAGCTTGCATGAGGACCACCAGTCCTACAATAAACACTTGCCTGGAAGCATCATTGATGAGAAAATTTCCTCCTAGATTCTGTGAATAGACTAAAGCGATGGGGAATCTTGTTTTTAAATAGTTGACTTGGGCTACATTTCTACTACAAACCAGGAAAAAAAAAAAGCTTGTCTCATCTACAGATGATGTTGCTTTGAACACTACAGTGCAAAAAAATATTCTGAAATCCTAACTGTGTATAGGTTGATTTTATTACTTCCAAAATGTGCTATAACAAATAAATTTAACTGAAAACAGGTGCCCACTCATTTAATCTTTTCTATTCTTTCTTAAATGGTGGTAGCTAAGGGCCAAACTTGTCATGATGTTAAAAATAAAATAAAAAATGGTGTCTGTGGAGAGAGGTCTGACCCTTCCTATCAAATAACAACTTCAAAGGATGGATTTTCCTCAACATAGCAGGGAAGGTAAAGGTTAACTGTGATTCCAACAATTGCCAGCTCTTCTTCTTGCTTTTTAAGAGCATATGCAAATTTGTATTTTTTTATGGTACAATAATATACTGTGCTGCACGCTGGCTATACTTTCTTTTGCTGCCAAACTGCTATTTCATGGCAAAGGTTGTGTTTTCTGCTTTATATGGTATTCACTTAAGTTCTCATCAACACATCTGGGCTAAAAAGATTGCGGAGAATTGTGTTAGCTAATAAGGTTTCGAAAAGGAATCACACTTTTGGGTGGTAGTGAGGGCATCATCTGTCAGTGCTGTGGGAATGTTTAATGGTGGAAGAGCAAAGTAACCCTTTTCTTAAATAATAAAATAGGTGTTTGTAACGTTGCTATCCAGATGAGGCCAGAGACAAAGAACTTTCCTTTATTTGAAGACTTTTTTGAGAGGTAAGCTGGAAGGTGCATGTTAACTGCTTACAGGGTATTTCTCGCCTCAGTTAGCTTCAGGACTCCTTCAGAAGTGAATAAAAAAATGTCACCCTGTTCCTGTAGAATTGGTACCACTATTTAAACCATTGTGATATGATTGAAAATTATTATAGGGCAGTGATTATTTATTTATTTATTATTATTTGGGGAGCGGAAGGTGCTTTGAAAGCAGAATTGCTGCTCTGTGTGTGTAGAGTCCAATTTGTTTCAAGAACACTCAAAGCCTGTTTGCTAGAGGTGACAAGTAATGCTTCTCTAGGATCATTTTCATCTCTTTTGTTCAGACAAACAAAGCTATTGCACATCTTAAAACTCAGTGGACAGTGCCACTGATGTTCCAGTCTGGGTTATATAGAGAACCAGTGCTTTTTTGTGCTGGTATGATCATCGCTTCTATTTTTTGCTGCATGTGACAGCCATTTTGAGCTGGCATACACAGCACTTGCATTAGAACATTAATACTGGGATCTCTCTCTCTCTCTCTTTTAACCAAAAAAGCTCTGTATTACCTATTTCCCCCCAATGAGGGGCACAAAATAGCTGACTGTTATTTAACAGAGATGTTCTATTTTCCTTCTAACCAGTGAGTAGTGGACAACAGAAGACCAAACAGCTGTGTTAGGATGTCTTTATTTATGTGTTGCAAATATAGAAGTATACGCTTTTATCTGATTTTAAATTGCATAGAAGCAGGCATGTGGTTTACATATTTACAGTGACCCCCAAAGGGCAAGATGGCAAGCTGTGTGTGCTGCCATTCTTCGAGGTAATCGCAGATCAAAAGCAATTTGTGTAAGTATAAAAGCGTGAAGAGTGTCAAAGCTCTCTTAGCGCCATCATAGAAAACTCTGTTTGGATTGTTTGTGCCAGTGTGGAAAAGGCAAGGGAGGAAATGGGATCGATCACTGCCCAATTTAAAGGAAAGCTGGGTTTTTCAGCCTAGCAAGAGGCAGAACAGAGAGAGAGAATAGCACAAGTCGAGGGGAAATTAGTAGAAAAGGAAGTGACCTGCTTGGGATGAATCAAGATGCAACCAGGCATACCTCACAGGAATTGCATTTTGGGGTTGGGTTGGGGACGCGGGTGGCGCTGTGGGTTAAACCACAGAGCCTAGGACTTGCCAATCAGAAGGTCGGCAGTTTGACGGGGTGAGCTCCCGTTGCTCGGTCCCTGCTCCTGCCAACCTAGCAGTTCGAAAGCACGTCAAAGTGCAAGTGGATAAATGGGTACCGCTCCGGCGAGAAGGTAAACGGCATTTCCGTGCACTGCTCTCGCCAGAAGCGGCTCAGTCATGCTGGCCACATGACCCAGAAGCTGTACGCCAGCTCCCTCGGCCATTAAACAAGATCAGCGCCGCAACCTCAGAGTCGGCCATGACTGGACCTAATGGTCAGGGGTCCCTTTACCTTTACCTGGGGAGGCACTAACAATTTTAATTCATTTTGTTGTTGGTATCTTCGTTATAAAGTCCCTCCTCTAGCAAACGGTGCCAATACAAAGTCTATATACTTGTATCACACAGATATAACATGGAAACCACGTGAGCTATTTTCCCAAAAGAACAGTACTAAAGGAATTCTTGGAAAATAATTGAGTTAAACTAAGGAGAAAAGAACTGTAAAGCTAGGCTTTGAGAGTGCTCTCTACTTTTGTACCATCAGTTTGTTTTCTCGCTCACTCAATCACACGTGCCACCTGCTGTCATATGGCTGAAATCTTTTTTGCTGACGGATGTATTTGGGTCTGATTCAGTTCTAAGAGTCCCATGGAAATGTGCCCATTCGTGTCAACGAGGATGGTGCAAGATCATGACATCTATTATTAAAATAGCATGCAAATATACATATGATTTATATTACCTATCAAATTATAAGGAAGTAAATAGGTGAAACAACCTTAGCATAATGCAATGTTTGAGAACCACCCAAAGGAAAAAAAAAGCTGAGCCAAACATGAAGAATCTGCCTTTTGTAGTTTTGGAAAGCTTCGCACAAAATAGGTACAGCAAAGCTGTTCCCCCACCCCTTGGTCTGAAAAACTATCACATCATCGTAATAAGAGACTAAAAGTTCTGAAGTTCAGTCCTATTGATTTCAGTGGCCCTTGTTTCTTCTAAGTGTGCTTAAAATTATAAACAAAATGTTGACAGAGTTTGGATTAACAGGGATGCTACTTCTGTGAGGGAAAAGGTCAAAGAGGCACACAGTCAGTTCTGATAAGCAGGATAACAGACAAGGCAATTAGGGGCCCTTTTGTGGACCAAGTTCCCTGGGCTGATTTGCAGAAATGTCATGGCTTTTTGCTGCAGGTTAGGTTAAGGTCAGGAGAAAAGGCATTGTGTAGTAGCAAGGATTTTGTCTTTCTGTGACCTGTACTTGAGAAGTCATTAATGACTTCCCATCTCCTAGAGCTTTCCAAACTGTTAGCTGCAGTGTGTAGGTGTGTCACACAAATGCTCCCTGTGCTCCTCCAGGGGCTGTAAAGCAGTTAGTTTAACCTCCTGTTGTTAGTAAAACGGAATTACTGTGTCACGATTACAAATTGATGCATGTCTAAAAAGGTGTGTCACCAACATGAAGTTTGGAAAGCTCTGCTGTACACAGTTTTCATTTGGTAATCATAGTGTGGAAATGCATATTTTCTTCATGAATGTGATTTCTTTCAATACAAGTTCATTTTTCAAATGGTCTATACTAAATGATGTTTGGAACAGGTAGCAGAAAAGGATTGAAGAAAGCGATCATTCTATATACCACCTGCTGACACTAAATAAACAAGTGAATGATAAGACTATTTTTATCTACAGAAAAAGCCTGTACCAAACAACTTATTATTATCATTATCATTATTGTTTTGCTGGTGTGACATGGAAAACTTTTTCAGCTCTCTACTTTCCCACTTCCCTGCCAGTTGGCCTAGTCATCTGTCGCAGCAGAAATTGAGCACATGCACTGAAAACTGGTCTTCTCATGCATTCTGTGGCCAGTTTTGTGTACATGTTTTGGGTGAGCTGGTTTCTATGAAAGACCTAAAGGTAGTATAGATTAAGTCAATGAGAGAACATGGGTGACTTCCTTTCAGAGGACGTAGTTCCCTGGACATGTCTCAAACATCTCTCTCTGAAGGATATTTTACACTGGGCAAAACACTATCTGCATTTCAAATGTGTGAGATGCACAAGCACTCACGACACTCTGAAGCCAATGAGAGCTCTGAATGACACTTATGTTGAATGCTTTCTTGTGTAAAAGGGGTTATGTGTCCCTGAATTAACTTGTGCAATAGTGGGCCTTTCTAATTCAGCAGCTCTCATTATATCCTGCAGTAGACCAACATGGTTTCCAACTCACCTCTCCTCAGTTTACCTCACCAATGCTGAGTCTATATACCTACCTCTAGAATCTATTTTGTATATATGACCCAAACAAACACCAGCATTTTACCTATTAAGTTAGGATTCCCCTTCAGAATTAAAATACTTCTTGTTGGCCTTACTTCAAGTTAACAGCCTTTGTCACATTTCACCATAGAAGAACTTTGAATATTATATACATCTATAAAAATCGTACCCTAAATTTCCAGCTTACAAAAAAGTATTCCTACTGGAGAGTGAATTACTACCGTTGAGCAGAGTTCTGCGTAAACGAAGTCCATTAAAAGGAAATGTCCAGTTCATTGCAGACAAAGCAGGCTAACTCCTGAGACTCCACAGGTCAGGCATCAATAACCGAACTGGTTAGTTTCTGTGGTGCAAAGCAACTTCTTTCAGTAATGAAAAAAATATGGTCACCACCACTTGTTTCTTTAGTTTTCTCAGTTTCTAATGCTCTTCCCGAAGAATGCAATTGTGATCTGCTCCCTTCTTAACTTTGGCTCTGTTTCCTTGCGTAGACTCCTCTCTGTCTTTGTTATTCTTGCTACATGTTTTCAGCTACTGAGTCCAAGGCAAACCCAGCTGGTTTTATTTCCTGCTTGGTTGTGAGTGGTGAGTCAGCTGGAAACCACATTTTGCAGACCACCGCCCTACATAGGTAGCTCATGGTTCTGCCATACGAACCTACCTAGTTCATATGAGGGAAGAGACCATTTTTCAGGGAGGTGATTGGGTGAATGTGAACACCTCCATGGACCACTGGACCCTGAACCATTCATTGCAACAGTAGCTTCATTGCATCCTGCAGCCACCACCATTGACACCAGTGGGTTGGAGCCAACCAGCCTCAAGTACTCATTGGGCATGTGCTGGAGGCCAGAGCAAGACAACATTAATTCATCTGTTCCTAGAACAGGGAGGGAGGAAGACCGGGGGTAGGGGGTGAAGAACATTTTTTATTGTTCTTGCAGAAACGGCCCCAGGGTGGAGGCCCAACTCTTTGCAAAAGTGTTCCATGTTATACAGGCGTAACACTCAGGTCATCAGATAAGGAGAGACCAGAGTCTCTCTCTCTTGAGGTTTTTTCTGGCTTAAAGGAAAGCTTGCCGTCTCTGTGCAGGCTGGCACTCCTCAAAACTGTGGTTGGCTCCACTGCCAGAGGCAAAGACCTGCCTGTTTCGCAGCAGAGATCATCGTAAGCGTAGTTCACATTGCCACATGGGAAATTCTGCAGCTTCACCAGTTCAATCCCTCCAATATCAATGTGAGGAGAGTGGTTCTGGCTCGGACATGAAGGTGATGCCCGAGAACTAGGGGAGGAACTGCAGTTCCCATCAAACCCCGAATCTTCCCGCTCTTGCGTTGTGTTGAGTTTGGAGCTGGGTTGGCAAACACCCTCCAGGACCCAGGATCCGTAAGTTGGGTTCCAAAGATTTTTGGTTTTATTCTTCAGCTTGTACGCTGGCTGGCTGGCAGACTCCAGTTTCTGCATCTGGGTCCCATTGCTGGAATCACTGGAGGAAGGCGTGCTAGCTCCTCTGGCTATCCAGTTACCAAGGTTCTCCACCAGCAGCTCCTGCGGACACTGCCCATATTTGTTCCCTGAATCATGGTCTTCCAATGTTATGAAGTTCATCTGCGGGGTAAGGGGAGAATTCCCCAGCAAAGGAACCTTCCCTGTGGAACTGTTTGGATGCAACATAGTGCTTCCTTCATCCTCTGGTGTTGGGCTGCATTCAATGGGCAGCTCTGTGTTGATCACATCAGGGTCCTGAAAGACAAGCAAGGATACTGAACTTCCTAAATACTATCACTTTGACCGATACAGACGCTAACATGCTTACAAGACCAAACTAGACATTACCAACAGATACAGAGGGTGGGATTCATGTCCTGTGAGTGCAACAATTTTTGCTTCTGCAATGAAACTTCCGCACTCTCCTCCTGCTGTGCATGCCCTACTCCCTCCCCAAATCTGCCCCAGAAGGTTGGGGAAACTCCTAGAACAGATTTGGGAAGCACATGGAAGAAAGAGGGAGAACATATTGTTACACAAGCAGAAATCCTTGCACTGGGTTTGTTTTGTTTTGTTTTTGCAGTGGGATGATCACATAGCACCATGTTGGATAGAACCATCAGGCACTCGGGACATCAACACTCTGTCAACCTAGTACACTGACTAGCAGGAGCTGTCCAGGGTGCCTCCCAGTCCTACTTAGAGATGTGGGGATTGAACCTTATGGTACCACCTGCTTGCAAGGAAGATGCTCTGCCCATGGAGCTGTATATTAAATCTGGAAAAGCCAGAGACTAGAGAAATGGTAGTGTGGGTGGTTGACCCCTTTGTTGCCTGCTGCTTCCTCAGTGGTGGAGAGAAGTGATCCTTCCCTTTTGGCTGCAGCCACTTGTGGCACTGAATGCTGCTCTGAAAGGTCCCTGAATGTTCAGTAGCACAAGGGGCTGCAGTAGGAAGGGGCCTATTATTACTCACGGGTGGAGCTCAGCGGGCCTGAGGGAACAACAGACTGATCCAGTATAAGGCGTTTCCATCTGTTCAGGGGATGGGTGGGCAAGCAGGGGAGACCTGAAAGGTTATAGAAAGTACTCTGGATACCCACCAGCACCATGGAATTTCACGAGAATATTCCTGACCTGTGTGCAGTACTTGATCCTTTCCAGAATGGTGGAGAAGTTGGGTCGGTACTCGGGACTATGCTGCCAACACTGCGTCATGATCCGGTAACTTGGAGAAGAATGGCAAAACAAAACCAACAGCAGGAAGATGAAGAGGGCAAAAATTACCTAGTTGTTCATTCCCTTTTGCACTTCAAAACCATGACTTGACTTTTGTGGGCCCTTCAGGATTAATGATTCAGGTCACAAGTAGTTCTCTGTCTTTGAGGTGACCCATCTGCAAAAAGCCAGAAATGGAGGGGGGCAGGGGGGTGGACTCTGTCCTACAATGGGCAAGTTCCCAGCTGGTGGAAAAACATCTGACAACAAGACCATATAATATAATAGACCATTATTATTATTTAAAAAAAAACTTATTTAAGAGATGCAATTAACTTTCACAGCAAATACAGTGAGGAATGTTCCTTGTTTTCTCTTCCTGGTACCCTCTGAAGAAGTCAGAGAGAGGCAGGTGGTGGCAGAAGGAGAAAGAGGTTGGGGAGAGAACCTTGGGATGTGGGTTGGACAGGCAGGCTGCTGATCCAACCAGCCCTTTCAAAGGCATCCCTTGGGCTTTAAAAATCAGGTCTGCAAGTGCTGGATATTTTTGTTCCAGGAAAAAGGCTCCCCAGTCCTGGAGCAGACCATTCTCACTGGCCTTATTTTGTAAAAATGAAGGCATACTCACACTGGCCCTGGGCAGTTCTTGGGTGGATCCATTCTTCCCCCACTGGTGACAAACTCCAGCACTTCCTGGTTGGTTTTGCAAGGGTAAGGCATATAGCCCAGGGAGAAGATCTCCCAAAGCAGAACTCCAAAGGACCTAGCAGAGAACCAGTGAATGCAATCCATTATCCTCCAGCCAGCACCTTAATAGTTTTAGAGTTGCAAAGCACATGGCACAATGCTGCCCTTTCCTTTGCTTCCGTGGCCTCTGCCTTGGCTGGTCAGATCTTAGCCTTCCTCTCAAAGGAGATTGGAGAATCAGAAATGTGTTGGCAGGACCTTCTTAGGGTGGGGTGCTATCTGCCTGGTAGTCCCTCACTAAAAACCCTCCCTGCTTCTCAGTCCTCAGATCAATCACTGCAAGCCTATTGCTGCTGAACTGCTCATCCGCACTTCTCCCAAGCCAGAGTTTATGCAAAGGCAACTAGTTAAATACTGTTTCCGCAGCAACAGCCCAGCACTTCCAAATAACACTGAATGTGAATTCATAGGATCAATTTCAAAATGCATAGCAAGCATCTTCTCCAAAGACCATTGGTCTACCTAACTCAATAGAGGCCTCATTCACACATCACTTGAAACCTCATTTAAGCTTCAGTGTGGATTAAAGATGAATGAACAGCATGCTAGTATGCAAGGTGAAATCTCAGTGCTTTTACTCCTCCCCTGTTCCTGCTATTGTCAGAAGCTAAGCCTAGACTTAGCCTGATGTCTGAGCCTGGGCTTGTGGTTTGTTTCCCCAAAATCAGTGGCAATGCGAAGGCATTTCTTACCAGGTGTCAGTCTTGGAGGTGAATATTCCTTCCAGGAAAGCCTCTGGAGGCATCCACTTGACTGGGAGCATGGCTCTCCCTCCTTTGCGATAGTAGCTTGCCCTGGCAGGCCAAAGAAAAAGAGATGGGGAAGGGGAAATTAAAGCCCACAGAAGTAGCTGAGTAAGAAATGCTCCGGTTATCTCTCGCTTGGACTACTGCAATGCACTCTATGTGGGGCTACCTTTGAAGGTGACCTGGAAACTACAACTAATCCAGAATGCGGCAGCTAGACTGGTGACTGGGGGCAGCCGCCGAGACCACATAACACCGGTCTTGAAAGACCTACACTGGCTCCCAGTACGTTTCCGAGCACAATTCAAAGTGCTGGTGTTGACCTTTAAAGCCCTAAACGGCCTCGGCCCAGTATACCTGAAGTTGCGTCTCCACCCCCACACTGAGGTCCAGCGCCGAGGGCCTTCTAGCGGTTCCCTCACTGCCAGAAGCCAAGCTACAGGGAACCAGGCAGAGGGCCTTCTCGGTAGTGGCACCCGCCCTGTGGAACGCCCTCCCACCAGATGTCAAAGAGAACAACAACTACCAGACTTTTAGAAGACATCTGAAGGCAGCCCTGTTTAAGGAAGCTTTTAATGTTTGATGCATTACGGTATTTTAATATGTTGTTGGAAGCCGCCCAGAGTGGCTGGGGAAGCCCAGCCAGATGGGCGGGGTATAAATAAATTATTATTATTATTATTATTATTATTATTATTATTATTATTATGTAAAGGCCTGGTCTTCCCCACATTCCAGCGTATACACAGGAAATGCAGTTACGGTAACACAAACAAATTTGAGTTTCTTTGGAAAGGCAGGAACACACACATTTCTTCTAACTGCATAGAACACAGGGCGATCGCTGCTTTATACCGAGTCAGACCCATTGGTCAATCTCAGTATTGCCTGCACTGACTGGCAGTGGGATTTCAGGCAGGGAGTGTTTCACAGCCCTACCCGGGGACACCGAGGCTTGAACCTCAGAACTTCTACATGCAAGGCTGATGCTCTACCCCCTGAGCTACAGCCTTGCCTGCTTTTTTTTGCCTTCTGTCACTCGGGGACATATTGTTGCTCTTTCTCCTACAATGAAGTGTGTCTGAGATCAAGCTACAGGAGGAGGGTTGCTTCAAGCACTGCCATGACAGCTGTGGGTTAGGCAAGATGTGTTGAGAAAAAGAACAAGAAAACTGCACGTGGTTGCAGTTAAGAACACAAGAACAGCTCTGCTGGATCTGGCAAATGGCTCTCCTCCTGCAGTTTCCAGCAGGTAGTATTCAGAAACATACGGACCATGCTTGATGTCAGACATGCATACAGTGGTACCTCGGGTTACAGACGCTTCAGGTTACAGACTCCGCTAACCCAGAAATAGTACCTCGGAGGCCCATTAGCTAAAGTGGTACCTCAGATTAAGAACAGTTTCAGGTTAAGAACAGACCTCCAGAATGAATTAAGTTCTTAACCCGAGGTACCACTGTACATGGCACTGAAGGGATGTGGTAGATTTGGCTTCCCTGCCCCCCCTATTGCTTTTATATCTTACCTGTAGATATCCCGGGCCATTCCGAAGTCGCCAATTTTAGCTACTCGCCCTGGCCCAGTGCAGGTCAGAAGGCAGTTTCTTGCAGCGATATCCCTGTGAAAGGACACACAAGCATGAGGTGGAAGCCGGGGATTTTGAAGTTCAAGTGGGCACCGTAAATACACACTTAAGGAAGCCATTACACAAAGCACTCACTTCTGCAAGGACAGGCCCTCCTGTACTGCTGGCAAGTTGTTTACATTTTCTTATTCAAATGCCGTTTACCATGAATGACTACTACTTGAATGACAGGGGCAAGGGAGCGAGTCTTGATCCCATTTGAAATTAACCCCCAAATAAAAGCTTTTAGAAAGCTGCAGGAGGACCATGACTGGTGGGACTTCTGGTTGCTGATCAAAAAGGGTCACTTATCTCTCCAAGCACTCCCTCTCCTCTTACGCCTTTTCCCACTTGAAGAAAAATGGAACAAGAAACTGAGCAACTCTCTTATTTTTTTTAATGGCAGACGCAGAGATGGAGCTTGTAAGCAGGGAAACCTCTGAGATCTGCCATTTGAAGTGGCTGTTTTGCCACTTCACCCTAAGGCTAGTTCTGGTTTATGACAGATTTGTTAGGAGAGGAGGGTTTCCTGGACTGAATCTGGATACTCCTTCCCCACCCACAGTTAAATCAGCATAGGCCTCTTCACACGCTACAGTCTAGTAAGGGCATCTCTTTTATCACACTCGTTATTGTGACATTAACATATGAGAGTGCTGGAGATGAAATAGTTAAACAGGTTACCGAATCAGAACCCAGGAGGTTGGAGTCAGAGGGACTATAAAACCAGCTCTGGGAGGGGTGAAGAGGGGGAGTTCGTTGGGAGTTGGGTGGTTGGTTGGAGTGGGAGTGAATTGGGATAGAATCTGTGGGTAGGTTGAGTTAGTGTAGCGAAATAAACTGAGTCAGGAACAGTTAGGAGCTAGGAAGACAAGTAAATATCTGAGAGGTGGTTTAGTGAGTGAGAGCAGGTAGCGGAAGTTATAGGCTGGATAGGCACCCCATGATTGTAATTGACTGAGACTGTTTATGAAACCACACGCTTGTTAAACTGCAATAAATAAACAGAAGTTTATGTTCCAATCTAACCCTGACTGGACTCAGTATTTTACCAGGTAGGGCCTGGGTAGTGGCAGCGAGAAATAAAGTGGTGGCACAGGGACCAATAGACGGTGAAACGTCCGGGGACCCTGTGTGATCACCACAGTTATCTATCCTTTTTTTTTTTTAAGCTACTGAAGTTGGCATCTCTAAATACAGGAGTGCTACTTATACAGTGGTGCCTCGCAAGACGAAATTAATTGGTTCCGCGAGTTTTGTCGTCTTGCGAATTTTTTCGTCTTGCGAAGCACGGTGTCGGGAAAGTTTTGGAAAAGCTTCAAAAATCACCAAAGTCTTTAAAAACCTCAAAAAAGGCTACCACACCACGTTCTATGAGTTGCTCCTCGAAGTCAAGTCGCAACTGTATTAACGGTGTTAAGAAAAAGGAAACAAACTTGCAAGACGTTTCCGTCTTGCGAAGCAAGCCCATAGGGAAAATCATCTTGCGAAGCAGCTCAAAAAACAAAAAACCCTTTCGTCTAGCGAGTTTTTTGTCTTGCGAGGTACCACTGTACTGTTTTAATTCAGCAATAGTCTCCTATACTTCATTTATGGGCAAAGCTTGTTATAGATAGGCCTAGATATTCACATCTACAAATGTCTACAAACTCTAAACCAGGGGTCAGCAAACTTTTTCAGCAGGGGGCCGGTCCACTGTCCCCCAGACCTTGTGGGGGGCCGGACTATATTTTTGGGGGGGGGGGAATGAACAAATTCCTATGCCCCACAAATAACCCAGAGATGCATTTTAAATAAAATGCATTCTACTCATGTAAAAACACACTGATTCCTGGACCACCCGTGGGCTGGATTTAGAAGGCGATTGGTCCAGATCTGGCCCCCCGGGCCTTAGTTTGCCTACCCATGTAATTTCAAGGATAAAAGGAAACCAGGAACATATGTTGCAACACTGCCATCTAGTGGGCAAAGATAAGATACACCACTAGTACAGGAAGAAGGCTTCTCAAGATGAACGTTTGATACCAACGTAAGCAGACGGCTTATACTGAGTCAGACCACTGTTATTCCTAGCCCAGAACTGTTTACTCTGACTGGCTGTGGCTCTTCCTGGTCTCTGGCAGGGATCTTTTCTTACCAACTACCACCTGAACCTTTTAAATGGAGATGAAAAGGGTTGAACCTGTGACTTCCAGCATATGTAAAAGTATACTTTATCACTGAGATGTGGTTCACCTTTAAAAAGTTTTCAGAAGTATAAAGGAAACTTTATACATTTATCTGTTTCCCACTGAACTTCAGTAGAAATCCCACTCGCCTGTTATACATTTTGTCTTTGAAAATAAAAGGTGGTTCCATTGTTTAACGACATGCAAATTCGCACAATTTCCTTTGTTTTCACAAGGAAGTGAGACATACCCACGGCTAACACCTGATCCTTCAGTGGAATGAACAGGACTATCTCACGACATAACCATAACTAGCAGCCGTATCTCATCAGCATGGAATGATCTAGGTTGCTAACGATGCACTTAGGGGGAATTAACCATTTGATAAAGATGCTGATAATGAGCTGGATGGAACTATGCAAAATGAGGCTTGCCTGGTGTCAGCCTCTGTGACATAGCTGCAAACTTTTTCCTTTTTTTTAAAGGGAAAATCCCTTATTCCGAATAGGATTCCTCGCAAGAAAAGGGAGAAGTTGACAGCTATGCTTTGTGACCATCTCTGCCTCTGTCTACATGGTTTTCAGGAATTCATTCCTTTTTCTACTTGGTATGGAATGAGTTTCAACCTGTTTTAAGGTATTATCTCAAAGACCACACTATGTCATTGCGTCAAAATCAATGTCAAATTCGAAAAACAAAGTTTCTGTTTCAGATGGCACAACTCCAATTTGCCTTTGGAGCTGTTAAGCCTATTTTTTTATTGTTTATTGAATTTATTCCCCACCCTTTTCTCCAAAGAGCCACAAGTTCAAGTACATGGTTCTTCTCCTTTCTCATTTATTCCACTCACCAACCCTGTGAGGTAGGTTAGACTGAGAGGCAGTGAGTGGGTTTCATAGCCGAGTGGGGATTTGAACCCCCAGTCTCCCTAGTATGAGGACGCGGGTGGGTTACTCCCTAGTCTGACAACCTTAACCACTACACCACACTGGCTTCCCTCTGAATAACACATCTATGACTCTTTGGAAAACAAGCCAAGAAATACAGCACATGGGGAATCATTATACAGGTAAGCCTCTCTTACCTATGGATGAAGTGGTTCTCCTCCAGATACTTGCAACCACAAGCAATGTCCCTGGCTATATTCAGCAGGTCCTGCATTGCCAAAGTGGATGGCTGATTCTGCCCATGAGAGAGAGGGAAAACAAAGATTCAATATGGGTGAGACATGGAGTGTGAGACATGGGAGTCTGGAAGGCACCAGTTTGAGTGTAGTTTTTTACACTGAACGTTTCTGCTTCATGTCAGTTACACAACAAGGCTTTGGTCCACTCACATGATGAAGCTTATCCTCCTACCCACCCCAATACATCTCTACTTCCTAACAGAATGAACTCCAGGAAGTCTGTAGTGAACAACTGTTTCATTCATGCTCCCTCGTGACCTGAAAATAGTCACTGGGTGGCTGGAGCTGGGCATCACCAGCAAGATCTCCAGAGCAGGGCAAGGGGAGAAGCGATGGTTTACTCACCACCCGAGGCCGGTTCTGCCGAAGGAAGCTCTTCATATCTCCACCAGTCATAAGCTCCAACAGGATGAAGCGAGGCAAGGTCTGCAGGCTCACCCCAATGCACTGCACAATATTCTGGTGGTTGAACTTGCTGAACCATCAGCCACCATGGAAGCATGGAAGAGAGGAGGGGGGGAAATGATTTCAGTGTTAGGCAGTCACTAAGATCCTTCACTTAATACCTTCCTAAACTGAATGATATCAGTTTCACAACTCAGTTTTTGGATTTTAGACCTGAGTTGCTGCAACCCACAGGTTATATAGGAAGCTACCTTGCACTGAGCCAGACAGTTGATTTTTCTAGATCAGTGATCTCTACACCAGCCTGCCTTCCCCCCGGTGTTTTGGCCTACAACTCCCATGAGCCCCAGCCAGCATGGCCAAGGATCAGGGATGATGGGAGTTGTAGTCCAAAACATATGGAAGGGTGGTCAACACCAACCAGCAACAGTCCGCCAAGATTTCAGGCAGGAGATGTGGGGCTTAGAACCTGGGACCTTCTGTATCCCAGGTATGTATACGAGGGATCTCCTTTAATGGAACTAAGGCCTTAAGCCACTAGTTTTACCGGAGAGCTACCGGTACTTCGAGAAAGGGCTGGGGGAGGGCAGTGGGCCAGGCTCTCAGTGCTACTGTCCAAAGCAGT